GAAAGAGCTGGGTGTTGCATTTGAAACAGTAATTTTTTATAGCCCAAGCCCTACTTTACATTATGCTCACTGGATCTTTCTGAAACCCAAATGTTAGAACATCCTAATCTTGCTCTACATTTTAAAGCTGAAAGATAAACCTGTTGTTTAATGAAATCCACAACACTACAGAAATAGTAACCATTGTGTTTCTTCATTTCAAAGAACGGCTGAAATCTAACATCTGGTGTAACTGTACAAACCTGACCTTAGGTCACAGTAAGTATTGTATTGTTGATGATGGATACGCTTTTTTCATTACCATGCTGTCTCCGTTCTTTCAGCATCCATGCTGTGAATCCCCAGTTACAGCCAGGACTATTGATAAATACTGATTTTTTAAAATACAGTTCTTCTCTTTTTTTACACTTTTAAGCAAGCATTGTAAGATATATTTTTTAAATGGCTCTTCTAGCTTGTTGTCAACAATATGCTATTATATGAGCAAACTCTTCTGCATGATAGCTCTGACATACAAGGATCAAGAAATGTGTATGAAGATGCAGCTATGATCCTAAAAGAGCAGTGTCACAAAAAGGTGATCCTCTCCGTCTAATGCCTTCCCCTGTACTTTCCTCTTTGGATGCTCATTTTCTTAAAGCCCTTAAAGACTGGGGTTTAAGGTTTAAATTGTGAAGCAGATGTGGACACCTGCGAATGTGCATTTGTACATTGTGGTTTCAAGGTTTGAGTCCCTGCGCAGGAAATGAAGCCCTGCACTGTCCTGCATGATTGATGTCCATTATGTCTAAGGCCTGGGGTAACATGGACTAGATCAGTGACTGTGAAGCAGCTCGCAGTACTGGAACCAGGGTTTCTAGCAAGCTTAGTGATTGCTAGGAGCTACCAGTCAAGAAATGAAGATATTGCCCTGGTAGCTGGATGTTCTGGTTGAATCTAAACTACACAAAAGCTACCAGAAGCTCTGCCACTGAACTAAGAGGGCCGATTTTAATGATGATTTCTAATTGTTTGCTTTGCTAACAGCATCTATCTCCAGCACCTTTCTCTCCTTGCAACTTCCTTCCCTTTCTTTGCAGTCTTAACTAGACTTTTAGCACCACAGCTTTAACTTTTCCCCAAAAGCTATGAAAACTCAAATTTCTTTCCTATTCCTTTGGGTGTCACGAGCCCAGGCTTATTCAGACTTGACTCTTTAGGACAGAGATGCTGACTGGGATTGCTGGACTCACTAACAGCAAAGGGAAAATGTTTTCTTTCCTAACCCATACTTAAGATTGTAATGGACATACTGTGTTCACCTTAGGTTGCTCCACCGTGAAGCAGAGGTAAAGCAGAACATCCTTGGCTCACCTTGATGCCTACAGAAGTGTGTAGAATGAAGCTCTGAGTCCCTGAAGTCTCTACATTTTCACTAACCCAACACTGACTAGCACAGAAAATGTCTGAAGGCATGGCATTTACACTTTTAAGAAACATCTATTCATTTCAGCTCTACCAAAGCTAAATACATTTATAGATTTGTTCATAATTATTTTTAGAGTAGAATTCTGTTTGTTTGACAATATCTGAAAAATTAAATACCTGGGGCAACATTGCTGAGTGCTGGTACATTGGGAACATGGTGAAATACTTGCTGTAATTGTGAGGGGTTTATTTAATACCTCTCAACACAAAGTTAACCCACTCAGTGAGGACAGCTTGTTTGATAGGCAGATAGTGCTGACCTCTCTGTCGCACGAGCGAGCTGACCGCCTAGGCCTGGCCATACAGACAGAACTGCACTTCCCAAGGGCTGAAGCAGTGTCAGCCTTTGGCTTTCCTCCACCTGTTCAAGTTACCAAGACACGCACCTACCCCTAAGAGGTACAACAGTCTTCTTCCTTACTCCCTTAGTGGGACTAAGTATCCCAGGGAACCAGAGGGCTGGTGCTGGGATGCTGTGCTGTACGGATGTAGATGGCTCTGGACCTGTCCACCTGTGAACTGAAATGCATTGGCAGGACAGTTAGCAAACCCCCTATATTCTTCCCACCCATTCTGCACTTTCCATGACCTCTTCTTTTCATCGGTACAAGTAAATTGAATTCAGCACCTTTAAAGACCCTGTCTGGATCCATAACATTCATAACCATGTCGTAACCATGAGTGAAAAGCTAAGAGAGAGTATGGTTTGTATCCAAGGGCTCTTTTGCTTTTTATGTGTTTACATATACCAGCCAATGGTCAGCAAATAAGCTCCACAGCTTGTAATGAAATGTTCAAACCATCTGTTTTAATCTGTGATTTAATTTCATTGTAAAATAGTAAAGTTGTTCCAATGGTTGGGTTGGTATGGCTGCTTTATATGAAAAGGATTGAGTATCCCAGAGCAATTACACTGCACCAAACACATGCTATGGGCATTATATCCTGCATTGTTTTTTTTGTTCCATTAAGAACGTTAAAAAGCCTTCTTAATACAGCATGACAGAGTTTTAGGTCTCTTTTTTGTTAGAAACAGATAGCAGATGCTGAGGACAAACATTAAGGATCTTTTTGAAAACAGCATGAATTTTTCAAAGTGCTAAAAATAAATAAAGTTTCAAAAAGCTAAAACGCAACCAAGCAAACAGGGCCTGAGGAAGTGGAGAAGATTTCCATGTCACACAGAGGAAAGTGCCCCAAATTCGTGATCAGCACGTGGCAGTGTCCATGTGACAGCATCTGGTTATCCCCAAGCAATGTACTAGCACTTGCAGGCTCAGAAGGTAGCTGGGAGCACGGTGCTGGCATTGCCTTACTTGCCATGCTGCCCAACAGGGTGATGGAGAGGCATTTTGCTGGGTGTTGTTTCCCACAATGCATTATGTGAACAAAGTAATCATTCCTTACATTAGTAAAATAATAAAGTAAAACTAAGCTGTGTGGAACTATTTTACATCCCTTCTGACAATGACTTTTTGCCTTTGGCAGCTGCATTATGGCACAGGATTAAAATACCTGCTCTTGCTTATGGCAGTGCTAAATTTAGGCAGCTGATACCTCCTTCCTGTGCTCCCACATCACATCCTTGCTGGACCATTTCAGGCCACTAAAGAGGATCAGTGGCCTAGGAAGGAAGAAACCCCTTAAAAACCACAATTACTTTCAATAACCTCACTTCTTTTTGGCCAGTTGGCAGGGTCAGTGCAGTGTGCTGCTGTGTAACCACCTTCCCTTATTTCATATGGCTTGACCACATACATTCATGGATGCCTTGCAATACCATGAAGCCTTGAGCTAGTTTTCACTTTAAGGAAACAGTTCACAATCTTACTCCTTTTTCTAGGTGCACCAGCACAGCAAGCCTGTAGGCTGGCTTGAAAGCACAGCCAGAGGTTGCCCTTTCAGCAGGTACAAGTTTTATCCCTGCCCCAGATTTCACATGTGACCCAAAACAAGCCCAATTACCCTTAGTGAGCAGCATCCCATGTCCTGGTCCTCCTCTACCTCACTTCTGGGCTCTCTGTCTGGCTGCTCCTATAATGGCTGGAATGGATATAGGGCAGTAAAGAGGATCCTGAGTTGTACCATTGGTGTACCAAAAATACAGAGCCTTTCTCCACGTGCTGTGACTCATGTAACTTATGCTGTTAGGCACTGGCAACGACACGCATGTATTTCCCCCAGCAGAAACTCACCATCTCAAAGGCAGGAAGCCTTCAGCCCCATGAACCTGGTGCTTTAGTTAATCTAAAGCCCTATAGGGACTCAGGGCTAATTAACTCAAGCACTGTGGCATCCTGACATGACTATATGGCTTCTAGGACCCAAGCTAGTATTTCTACCCAGCAGTCTGCTGCTGCACTACGTGATATATCTACTTGGCCAATGCTTGGTCAGGGGTTCCCAGGGCAGGACAGGGTGGGGGGAAGCATGGATTGCTGCCCCAGACTGCAGCAGTCATTCACCATTGTACCCATTGCTTGGTGTTATTTGGGGTATGTGCTACTTGCAGTGCATTTTTCCTGAACATAAGCTGGAAATTACTGATTTTTACCTTACACAGCTAGTATAAAAGCACTAATGTCCTAATGAAGAGTCTCACTTAGCTAAATGCCTTATACAGCTGAGTAAAACAAAGAATTTTACTAGAGCTTAACCCAGTCGTTAATAAGCTTTTTAACCCTGACCTTTCAAATCAATGATCTACCACTGGTTTTACCTTTCAAGAAGGAATTCCATTTTCAAGTGATAAAACATATTTTGCACTCCTTACAATCTAATGATTATTCTCAGCGTTACTGGATATATGAGGCCATCAAACCATTAGATGGTATAAAATGTATTAATGTACAGCATTCATGGCTACATTTGCTTTAGAGTCAATAAAAGGGAAACAATTTATAAAGGGCATTTATGCTTATTACAGAATATCAATAGATTGTTTCTCCCATCATTTCTGAAGTATGAAGGACTCCCTTTTGTGATGGATAGGGGAGGATTTGCATAAGCTCTTTGCTTATGCCCTGAACTTCCCCAGCACAGACCTGTGCGCAGGAGTTTGTGGCCAGGCTTTGGGCTGTGTGTGGGGTGGGCCGATGGTGGTACCCACAAATCCTCCTTTCCCAGGGGACCAAGCATCTCCATTCAGGAGTTATTCACAGCAGCCACGTGAAGGCTGTATACACAACTATGGTGCTTTCAGCACCAGACATAAATTACCATAGGGCTGTGGACAAATTGGATTGAGTTTGGAGAAGAAGAAAGGAATTTATTTGTTTGGGGCTGAAGTACACAAATGATAGCAGAGCTTTGCGGAGTACCTTCTTAAGCAGTAGGAAGACAAGTGAGGCTGCTTGATGCATATGGGGGGTGTGTGTGAAAGGAATTATGTGTGGGGTACAAGAGGATATAGGAGCTCCGGCACTACAGCTAGAGGCAGAAATTCATAGTTTGTCCTAGTGAATAACTCAAATGTAGAAATAAAATCTATGAAGAGACAAGTGATTAAGGCACTGGCCTGAGTCTCAGCAGACCTGGATTCGGTTCCTGGCTGTTTTCAGCTTTCTGTCTGACTTTTGGCAAGCCTCTTCAACTCTCTGCGCCTTGGTTTCCCATCTGTTAAAGAGGAATAATAATATTTCCTTTCTTTCCTGCTTATTCCAGCAGCAAGCTCTTCTGGGCAGGCACTGTCTCTCTCAGTGTCTGTAGAGGACTTCTTGCCCGCTGGAGTTTTGATCCCTGTGCTAAACCAGGACACACAGGGCCAGGGAGTGCCATGCCATAGAAGCACATTTATTTACAGTTTCTGATTCCTAAGGGACTAAAAGGTATGCTATAATTTGTTAAACAGCTTTCTTCATATCAGTTCTTCACGGACAGACAAAAGAAAAAAAATCAGTCAGTAAATTAGAGAAGGAAAGTGATTCACATCTCTGCTAAGATTTGTAAGAGTCTGAACTTCCGAAGTAGAAATATCACAGTTTGAGAGAACAGAGAAAACATTAACCACAGCCCAAAAGCAGAGAGTTGGCCTTCTCCATTTCTGCTCTTGCTTCTCTACACATCTGGCTTCTCTATCTGGACTGACCTTTTCAATTTCTCACTGACAAGACGTCTTCTTGATGCACATAGTGGCTTCCCGTGCCTGCATATGCTCATGCCCATCTGGTAGGGTGAAATTGTGCCCACTCACAGGCGCACACATGCACTGCGAGTGAGACTAGGTAATATCAGTTGCTGAACACTGGTAATATCAGTTGCAGAGCACTGGTTTAAGAAGACAACCAGCAAATATATAAAATTAAATCCCAGCTGCAGAGACTTTCTGTTAATAAGCAGTCCCGATTAGAAATGCAAATGTCACTGAAAGGGAGCATGTCTGTTGACAGTAGACTTTGAGGAAAGCTTTGGTTTTAGTGCTGGTAAATTAATCTTTAATTATGAGCATGCTCACTCCTGAAAGAAGTGCCCTGCGCACACTGAACTGACAGCATGTGAAACTTTCAGGCTGTTGCTTTTTTAACGTCAAATGGAACGTCTTGCCCCCAAAAAGCAGATGAGAGCCCCATTTGCTGGTGGTGGGTTTAGTGCTCTAGTTCAGCTTGAGCTATGGCTGGCCAGTGTCACTGACTCTCCAGATGGCATCAACCTGCTAAAAACACTGGTATTAAACCAGCATGACTCTCATGCTCTTCATAAATACAAATATCTAGATGAATTATCGAGGTTTGGGGTTTACAAGGGGTACCAGAAAACAGTCCTTGCTCCTGCAGTTATTTCCTTCCCTGGCTTGGTCAGAAGCAGAGAGAGGATCACAAGATGCTATAGCAAAACCTTGAGGCCAGCAATGAGAATGTCCGACACCTCCACTCCCGTGCTGGCTGGATTGTTAAAATAACATTTCCACTTCCAAGTAAGTAAATAAATCTCACTGGCAGGTTTGTCTTGTGACAGCCAACATCTTGTCTCCCTGAAAACTGGGCTGGTGTCCTGCAAAGCTGAAAACCCAGTGCTCTAAAACCTGAGTGCAACAGCCAAGAGATACATGAGATCCATCCTCTGAGGTAGCAGATACAATGAAGTAAGCAAATATGTTCTAGCAATCCTATTATTAAAGTTCCAAAAATAGTTTAATTTCTTAAAGTTATGAAATATTGCTGTCATTTTCCTAGAATCATGGAGTGGTTTGGGTTGGAAGGGAACTTAAAGATCATCCAGTTCCAACCCTCCAGCAAGCTTTTGCTTTTTTAGCCTACAGCTACAAAGTTTTGCCCCAAAACCTGCATTACCCAAAAGAGGCCATGCTGCACACCCACCTCAAAAGGCCCAGAACACCTGGTTTCAGACACAACAGGAAGATCAGAACATACCTTATCATAAATATGCATATGTGACACGAGAGCCTGCTGCCTTCTTGGAGAGATGCCATAATTGACGGAACAAAGTACAACAAAACTTCACATCACTGGTGGATCAGAAGAACAGAGGTAACTGAAAGGCTAGAAAATTACAGGTTTACTGACATTCTGCTCAACCTTACCCATTCTTTACTGAAAAGAGATAATAACTATCTATAGGAGAGCTGTCTTGCGGCTTCATTCATTCCCTTTTGCTAGACCAGCTGAGAGGTGGTATAATATAACGCACACTGGCATCTGGCACGTCATTTAATTACACCTTCAGCTTGCTGGGAAAATGTTTGAAGTGTCAAGGTAAGCAAACTATAAAAATATATTTCCCCTGCTACAGGGGAGCTCCTGCAATGGCAAGCAGAGAAGAGAGGGCCTGCTCCAGCCACTACTCTGGGTCTGTTTGAGGAAGGTGATGCATAAGACTCTAATCCATGAACAATTATTGCCCTTTGATAAGACACCATCTGCTTCCAGCAGTCTGGGTCCCATTCCCCACAGATACTTGAGAATTCTTCTCCAAATAAGCCATTGGTACAACAAGAAAACAGCACCACCACATCCAGTTAAGTTGTGCCTTCTGGTATCAGCACGCAGTGCGCCCCACTCCTTTAACAAAGAAGAAAAAAGAAAGTGAAGGGCAATAAAATGCAGCCACCACCACAAAAGCCCGGTAGGGCTTGTTTTAGCTCATCAACCAGATACGCAATCTGCTCAAGAGTGAAAGGCTGCTAGACATCAACTATAGTAAGGCTAATAGCAAATCCATGCTACCAAACAGTCCCCAACCAACAGTAACTTCCACCCTAAACTGATTCAAGGAGCTCTTTTAAAGAGCACAAACTAAGCAGCAAACCAATCAGGTGTTGTATTTCCCTAATTAAGGCCTCCATTAGCCAAGGTGAAGTCTAAGCACCTGTGAGGTAGCCAATAGTTGAGGACTTTCAGGTTCTTGTTCCTCCTGTGCTCTGTTTGTAAAAGAAAAAGAGCCCCAAACCTAAAGCTCTCTAATTCCAGAGAGGCGTGCTGAGACAGTTGCCCCCTCCTATTGTGATGGGAGTACTCCAATGGATTTTGTTTAAGTCCTGCTCCTGCAGCACCCTTTTGCTCCACTCCACCACTGCTTTCAACTCATATTTAAAAGCTCAGTTCTCATTGTCACTGCTGTGAAATAAGATCGGCCTCTCCATCAGTGCTTCTTCTGGGCCTTGTTGCTGCACACAGGAGGCACAGGAACAGATGGAGGGGGGAAGTCGCACCCCAGTTCAGTCTGCACCGTATTAAAGCTGCAGATAACCTCACCACTTGCTAAACCAAAGATGACCCCTGAGCTTTTGACCCTACGAGCCAGTGAAACAAAGCAGAATGCGTTAGGGCTGAACTTGTTACAAGTAATTGAGGTGAAAGAAATAAATCACTTTTTTTTTCTCTTTGTGCATTGAGGGGGGTAGGGGGAAAGGAGAAGAAAGTTCAATGCAGATATTAGTCACCTTGTTTTGTTCTTAGCAATGGAAATTTCTCAGAAACCAAAATAAAGGTTGTCGTATAAGAATCTAAAGAGAATAAAATTAGCTAGAAGCCACATCCTAACTTTTAAACCCACTGTATGAATGCAGGTGTCTGCAGCTGAGCATGGTGGTTTTGTTTCAGCCCATCCGAGGTGTGAGTCACTTTCATCAAAAGAGGAGGATGCCCTGATCTGTGTGTGAGCGAGCGCTGGAACAGCAGCTGTTGAGCAAATAAAAACATCCATGCCAAGGATTGTAAGGATGGAATTTATCTAATATGTAAAAAAACACCTGCTGTAAATGAAAAATTACACCCACAACCACCTGAATAAGATAAGCACACGATGGGGGAAATAAAGAGACAGAGTTATTATTAATTTGTTGGAACTTTTGAACCATCTCTTTTGCATCTCTTTGGCAACACAACAGCAGGATGCTCTAGGAAATAGTACTCCTTGCCCCAGACCTGCTCAGTAGCATTTATTTTGTCTGAGTGATTTTCTTTTCTTTGCTAAGTCTGGTGGAGATGAAAACACTAACCCAAAGAAGATAATTAGAAGCTAAATGAAACCACATACAGCTGTGCTACTACATCCTAATGAACATGCAAATATATACATATGATAAGGACATAATGCAGTCTGGCTGCCTTGAGTGGTTAGTGCAGATTTCCAAGAGCTGGAAATGCTATTGATTAGAACCGAGCTAAACTTCCTGACTTCAAAGATCAGCCTCAATATAATCATCACGCAGCATACAGGAGCATGGCTGCAAGGAACTGATGAATAATGGCCTAGGGACCTGAATGCTCACACATAGGATGTGGGATGCCCTCTGGGCTGCTAAGTGCAGGCTCCTTGGCAGCAAGGACCAGTGCCATAAAATCCTCCCCAGCATCCTGGCATAGTCAGTCTTGCCGTCAATTAAGATTCTGAAGTTGTGGGGTTTAGCTGGGATATTTACTTTTGCCTTCCCACCTCGCTTGGCAAGATGCTGATATGTGGAGTACACATTCTGGGGAGGACCAGGGCTGACAGTAACATGTATAAGTCAAAGCTTCTGGGGTCCTGTAAAAGAGAAGGCATGAGCAGCATGGAGAGGTTCTCCTCTGAGTGTCCACACATCCACATGGAAGATAACCAAATCAGATTTACCTTCTGTAGTTCAAAATGAGAGTAACTCTGCATCCTACCCAGAGATGAGATGAGTGAATCAGGGCTCATCCCTGCACAGAGCAGTTCAGTGGAGGGGACCCAGTCCTCCCCACTGCCCCCTTCCCCAGGCACATCATGAGGGAGACGTTACAGAAACAGAACAAAGCTCGTTCCTCTGCCATGATAGCCAGAGAAAGGCCACAGAGCCTTGAGGATGGCCATGGCTGGGAGAAAAACCATGGAGAGATGCAGCACAGTCTCAGGTCAGGGCACTGGGACAGGACACTTCCGGAAACCAAATTTGTGCTGAACACAATGGTTAGTGCATAAAAATTAATCAAGTACTACAATTACTTGCTTTATTCATAATACTTAATGGTCATGTAATAGGAGTTTTTATTCAGCAGTTAAAGTTCATAAGTGCAGGTTTTACATGTAGAAAGGTATTATGCTGATAGTTTAATTACACACCTTTCTGCACACCAAAGGAAATGGGTTATGCGGGTTTTATAATTAAAGAAGGACTTCTGAGGGGAAATGAACTTTGCAGTTAGCAACATTATATTTGATGTTTATCAGATGTTTTTGTTTTGAATTTGCCAGCACTCCATGGTGTTGTAAACAGGTGAGAATGTTCCAAACTGCATGAGGTGTCAGGGGGAGGCTTTGAAAACGCAGCATAAAGTAGCAGTGTTTAAAAATAGCAAGGGTGAGCATGAGGCATAAACATCATGTGTTTGGAAGGCTCTCCAGAGCTCTGCCCATGCAATTATGTACAGCAAAAGTCTGTCCAGTACGTCTAGGAAACAGGCAAAAAACCCAACCCGAACAAGTAAGTGAAAAATAAACCCTCGTCCTTGCCAAAATAATAAAAAGTTTTCCTTTTTATTTTTCTTCATTTTGTTTTCAATAAATTTCATGGCCAGTGAATGTAATTTTCCCCTCCTGCATGCCTACAAAGGCAGCAAAGCCAAAACGGTGATGGATGTTTGTGTGTGCGTGTTTGCTGTTGGAATAACAGGACTACCCTCAATACCGAAGGCAAAGGTGGGCATGAGCCACCGACAGGTCAGGGCCAGCTCCTGTCTCTCTCTGCTAACAATGTGGATATCTGTACAAGGCATGTGGTGTCAGGGAAGTCAATAGTCCTGGGCCTCCTCCCTTTTCAGGTTTTAAGAGCATAACTTCATTGCTACATACATTTGAAAGCGCACCAAAAGCATACGTGGGTATACATACATATATATGCATTTATAAACTAGCAGGAGAAATCCATTTTTCTACCATAGTGAATGCACAGACAAGAATTTTTCTTAAGTCTAAAATATTTCAAACATCACCAAAAGCCCCTCCACTCGTATGATAAGAACTGACAGGCTCTTATCGTGCCCAACACAAATGAACAGTAACAAGTGGGTTGAACCAAAAAAAGGACTTTCCAAAAACAATAAGCAAGGGCAAGGCCTGAAATATTTTGAGTACGCCCTTTCCTTTCTGGCAGGGCTGGAGAGCAACTGCCCTCAATGTTATGATTTGCTGGTGAAGGTGGGGTCCAGGTGATGGCAGACGGTGATGCCTGAGACAGGGCTCCCTTTGCTGGCAACAGCCTCCTTCGGTATTCTGGACCCACCAGCGACATTTGAAATCAGGCATCTCACATCCAAGTACAGTGGAGTAATTTCAAAACCCTTTTAAATTGGAGCAGACACTCAATAATTACAACAGGAAGAGTTCTGTAAAGGGTGGATCCAAATACAACTGAACGGCTTTTTTTTAATTTCATTGGCCAACTGCATAAATTAAAGACAATGAGAAGAACTGTAACTGTATTTTCTTATTAAATCCATATACTTCGGCTCTGCTCGTCGTTGTTAACATACTGTTAGAAGAGCTGTTGCTGTATGTTTCAACCCCCATCCCACAATCAAGCCCTTGCTGCACTGTTGTGGATTTTAAATAGTCACTTGCTTAAAAATAGAATGTGTTGTTTTTTTTTTTTTATTTAAAGAATAAATAAATCTGAATACAAACAGATAAAAATCAACATATGCAATTGTCAAGTGTCGAATTCAGCTCCTCAGTTTGAATTTACACCGCCTGGTAAGTGGGGCTCACAACGCCATTGCTACCATTTGTGTGAGTTCTCCACCCTGGCAAAAGCTGATACTCTTCAAGTATATGATTTTTAAGACTAAGAAGAGTAATTATAATAGGATTAACAGATTTCTCCCCCCCACTGCCTCATATCAGAGAAAGTATTATACCAGAGTTATGAATAGATGTGTTTTTACTGTATATGGAAATGTATTACAACGAATGTATGCCTCAAAGACGCTCATCATCCATTGCATTGTTTTGTAGAAGCCACTTCTCTCATGAAGGGCAACCACATGTGAAGGCAAAGAGTCCAAGTAAGTGTTTGGTAAACATCTGAAAATGAGAGACAAATAGCGCCGGGCTATCGTGCCATCTTCCTTCAAACACCCACTTGAAAACGACCCAATTCCTTCCCCACAAGCCGAGCCTGGCTCCCTAAACCAGGAGGAATCGCAACGCTGGTAAACTTGCAGAAATATTTTTACAGTTTTATTAGAGGTTTTAATTCAGTGCTTTATCTACCTCTGTTAGTCGCAAAATAGCTTTAAATATTCAAGTGGTAATTAATGAATCTTTTATGTTGCAAATCAAACATTTTCATCTGTGCCGTGGTACGGTGGCAGCGAGAAGGAGGGGTTTAAAGTGTAATTGTTTCTCCTGTTCCCCTCGCAGTGCTGAATGCCTCTTTACCCTTTATTATATCATTGGCTTTTGCTTCAGTTCATCAGCACTTCGCCACATCTTATCGTTCGATATTTGCTGTCTATTTTATTATTTCTTTTTTTCAGCTCAAGATTTCTTACTGTGCCTTTGCCAGAGACATTCCTAAGGAGATGGAAACTGTCTGAATGTGGAATTTTCGCATGAGTGCAAAATAATAAAAAGCATGTGTGTATTAAAAAGGGATCAACTTAATGGGAAATGAGCATTGGGTTACATTAATATTCTATTACAGTAAAAATCATATTTAATAAATTTTCTCCAGATTTTTCAGAATCTTACTGTATTTTTCTAAGTCGTATGCCAATCCAAAGAAACAGTGTATGTGATACATTTGATTTATGTTAAGTAAATAACCTGCACAGCCCATTTTTTGGTTAGAAAAAAAAAATTGTGTAGAAACACACACCAGACTGAAATGTGTGCTTAGTTTCCATCTGCTAGGAGGGAATAGTGTTGGTCTTGTGCAGCAGAAAGCCTCTATAAACAGTATTCTATTTTATTGATGCTATATGTGGATTTTTATGTTTTGTGGCAAGAGCAGGAGAACGAAAACATTGTAATTTACCCTAAACCATAAAATTATACTAGTACTAAAGTAATTACTTCACATATTAAAATACAGTTTCCTTTAGTTTCCTTTGTCATCACATAAAACCAGGCGCTGAGCGCTGCAGCGCAAAGGGGCCAGAGCTTTTCTTGCCTTCACAAAGGATTGACACATCCTTGATCGTACACTATATCACCCGACCCTTGTTGTTCTGTGACCCTAATTAATATTATACTCAGTGACATTTATGTATCAGAGCAATAAGCTAAACAGGAAACAATTTATGTCACCTAAAGCTTTTTAACAAATCGATGCAACTATTTGTAATTGCTTGTTTCACAAGATTAAAAGTACTCAGCCTTGATCTTCGCCCACAGTTTTGTGGCCAACATGACCTGTGCTTCCGTTGTAAAATAGGAGTGTTGGTGATCAGCACCTATTTCCATCAAGTAATCCATATTGCTAATATTTCTGGAATTTTAATGTAGTTACAATTTATAGCCGATCAAATGTGGTTACCTAAATTGCTGTTGCTAGTAGACAGTTTAACTGTCTTTATTAATTACAGTATAATTTAATGTTTGAGTACAGGCACTTGTGTTGGTCATTTTTACAGCCAAAGCAGTTACGTGCCTTATGACAAACCGTTTTAGCATTTTCAATGGAAATTTGCTAATATGATGAGTGATAAAAATGTCAAACTCTGGTAAATAATGGTTATTGCTTTGGCTGGAATTAATCCTTGAAAGGACTGTTACCTTCAAATTAACATTATAACTTGAAGAGAAAAAAATATGGTTTTTAGGCTTCTCAGGTGCATAAAAAATGGCCACTGAACTAAATAAATACGCACAAACCCCCACAAAATGTGGGTTTTTTTTCTTTTCCTTCAGGGAGACAAAGAAATTTCCTGTGCAATAAAAAGGCAGGAGGGGCTCTTTTTTGTTAAACACCCCAAGGCGATGTTGTTTACCATTTCCAGCTCAGGTGCTCTGAAGATCTCTAACGAAGCCAGTTAAGATGGGGCAAAGAGAAGGACTTTTGCTAATTCTCAGCACTGGGGGTTGGGAGCAAACCTGGGTGCAGACAGCACAGAGACTGCAAACACATGTGGGGGCCATGTCCCACCACATCGGGTATCACCACCGGTGGGGACAGAGGTTTGCTCCCACAATGAGGATGAAGAGCGCTTTGACCTGATGGCACAAACCACTGCAGCAAGGAAGATGAAAGACAGCCCTGATTAGCACACCATTAAACGAACATTTAACATCATCATTGAAGACTGAGCCTGATTAATAGGTCAAAAAGGGCTAATTAGACTTTGTTGTGAGGAAGGGTGTGTATGTGTGAGCACCAGGCATCGTGAGTCCCTTAAATTAGTCCAATAATGTGATCGCTGCCCAAGTTAAATGTCACCGTTCAGATCATCTGCAGAGAGCAGCTGGGTGTGCATGGAGCATGTGCTCCCAGGCCTCCAGCTCCTCCGACCCCACTTCTGCTGCTTTTCCCTCCGGTACAGGAGAAACCCAGGAAATCTATGCACTGGCTCCAGTTTTCTTTGGAAACTACTCAGAGACGCATTGCTTCACCCCTGACCATAAAAGTGCTTTTCAGCTGTGGTGGAAAACAGCGATTCTGACTGGAAAAGGTATTTCCCAGCTGGCTGTTGCTGGTGAAGGAAGAAGGCATTCTGTGATGTTCCACAATACAGCAGCCAAGGAGGAGAACGGTGATTAATAACACAATGATGATACAGAATGTTGCAATGAGCCAGGCTCCCACCCACTGCTAAAATCATAGCATCATAGTTTGGGTTGGAAGAGACCTTCAAAGATCATTTAGTCCAACCCCATGCAAGGAGCAGGGACATCTATCTTCATCTAGATCAGGTTGATCAGAACCACATCCAGCCTGGCCTTGAATGTCTCCAGGGATGGAGCACCCACCACCTCTCTGGACAACCTGTGCCAGTGTTTTACCACCCTCATTGTGAAGAATTTCTTCCTCAAGTCCTCAAATCTCCCCTCTTTTAGCTTAAAAACTTTAATCATTGTCCTGTCACAACAGGCCCTGCTAAAAAGTCCTTCGCCATCTTTCTTACAGGCCCCTTTTAAGAACTGAAAGGCCACAATAAGCTCTCCCTGGAGTCTTCTCCAGGCTGAACAACCCCAGCTCTCTCACAGTGCAGTGCTGACTCAGGCAGAAGGGAAAGGACCTGATTCCGCTCCTCAACTCAGCACCATTTCTCAGCACCATCTGCATTTGGCACCCGCCCCAGCAGCAATCAGAGGCCACAGGAAGCTGGCAATGACACACAACACACTTGCACCTCTGAGCTATCACCTCCGGAGACCTAAAATACCCAAATCATCTGTGATGGCCTCATAGCTCATTGCTGCTGGTGACCTGCATGGGGATGCACTGTCCCCAAACAGAGGAGCTCTGCTGGGGCTCGCTTGGGTTTCTACTCCCCTACCGAGAGCTGACTTTACCATGTCTTGGAGACAAGAGCACTCCTGATGGAACACTGAGCACGTTCTGGGCTCAACAGCCTCTGCCTATGACTGACAAAGAAAAATTACCCCCCAAAGTGGGACCTCATCAGTTTCCTAAACCTCACTTCTGATAAACGTTCAGTACACAATCTACCCCAAATTTCATTCTCTATATTTTAATTATTAAAATCTACCAGTCAATACCATTTTGAGACACATTAGAATGAGTGTGCAAAGATTTCCCTCCCCCCCCCCCCAAAAAAAAAAGTAGTTATCTGGTATAATTTTATGAGAGAATATTTTTATAAAATCATTTGTACTAATTTAAGCATTTATCATTATATGCAAAAAGATTTCTTGATGAGAATATTATAGACGGTGCATGTTTTTGACATTAGCATTTTATTTGGATGACTAATCTTGCAGATGTGAAATTTTAATGAATTATTCATGAAAAATCTCTCCTCTGAAATTTCAGTTTGCTGCTAATGCTAGTTATTAAACATTTTATTTTTCTTTATAAAACTTGATGAAGGAAATAAATGTGTGCTTACTCAAAAGAAAAGAAGGCGGGTATTTCCTTTCAAGTTTATCTTGGGTGACAGCGTGACCTGGGACTTTGCTCCTCATGGTTTTGTGGACCAAGGGGTTGATTCTGCAACCCCCTTTTCACACATGTATAACGTGTATCCAACCCTTCCTACCGAAGCCAGCAGTGCCCATTAGGGCACCACACTTGAGAGGCTCTTGAGCATGAGGCCCCAAACCCCTTCTTTCACACTTTCCCCTTTGAAGTCATCCAGTGAGAAAGCAAATACCCTGAACTCCCTGTGAGCCCAATGGTCAAACAGCGATGGGCTTGCAAAAGCAGATGAATCCTTTGGATGACAGCATCTTCCTTGCTTCCAGGGCTCAACCAATCGCCCTGTCCAGACTGGCCATGAAACCACCACTACAGCATCTTGCAATTGGGGGAGACACAAGGAGGGCGATGAGGCTGTCCATGGATGTGCTGGGACATGGGTGAGATGCTCCATGTGTCACCGCTGGGGGGATGCGACATGGAAGTCATTGGCAGAGGAGGGGGAACAAACCAAAAACTTAGGACATGGCAACTTGCATTACCAGTGTGAACAACCAGCATTTTTATTGCATTTGAGAATGCTATAATGTCAGTAATTAGTACTGACTACACAACATTTTTTATTGTCTGTATCAACAGACATGGAATGATGGAATTACAGTTGATGTAAGGAATGAGTTTCTTTTATGCCTTATCAAAAAAAAAAAAAAAAAGAAAAAAGAAAAAAGAAAAAAAAAATCTTGTTACTGGCAGCACATACACACAAAGCACCATGCTAACAGTCTGGACTGTACCATTTTCATCAAGGCTTATGGGTAGAAGATACTTGTTTACCTGTTCTGGGCCCATTAAAATGCAGTCCGTAACTGCAAATTCACCTCGCAAGACTAGAATACTAAATGACTTCGGAAACATCTAAAAACTCACTTGGAGTTCATTAACCAAAGGTACCAAAAGATTTCAAAAGAGTTTAAACACATTTGGTGGTGGGTTTTTTTTCCATGCTATAATGAACGTGAAATTATTTGCAATCTGAAAACTACAATAGTTCAAAATTATTTTTAAAAACTTTATATATATATATTTATGTATGTATATATATAAAATATCTAATGATCTGCAACAGTTGTACAACCAGAATCCCTGCCCCGGCCTCTTCCCAAAGCGGGAGCTCCAGGAGAGGGGAGGTGCAGGACCTACAGCGGGACTCTTGCGAGTGAGAATCAAAAAAGGTCATTTTTTGCGGTCACTTATTCTACATAAGCCTTGATTTTTCATTTCACTTCGAGTTGAATGCAGAAACCCAACAGGTTTTACATTTACAAACTTGGGGTTGTTGTTTTGTGGACAAGGAAGGCTTTGACTCTCATTCCTGACAGCGATTTACCTGATACATGGTACTACTTTCATAATGTACGCTTTTCTTTGAGAAAAAAAACATGTAACAAATTGTCTTTACATCTTGGCACCTTGTAAAGTTTTTTTCTTGTTTTATACAAAAGTTCAATAGTTTGACACTCCCCGTTATTAATCACTACTTCACTGATAAACTTTGAAAGTGTGACCCTGGAATTCATCATGCAAAATATTTACTGCAGCAGGAGAAAAACAGTTCTTTTTTTTTTTCCTTTTTTTCCTTTTTTTTTAATGATTTTTCTTTTTTTTCCTTTCAAATAGATGAACTTTGTTTAAGACAGCCAGAAAAGGCAGTGGTAAGATGAACAGAAGGGGTGGGAAAGTATCAAAAAAACCAGCTTAAACACAAAAACTGTACAAAAACGCTTCGATCAATGATAACAGGAGAAAAAAAAAAGAGAAAAAACTCTGTCAACTATGTTACAATTTAAAAGCTGAAAAAAAAAAAGTCAGGGATTTTCTCCCACATGTCAGCAAACGTCATCCAATATTCTTAAAGCAAGGATAACTAAATAAAATACATGTGCAGCGTATTCTGCAATTCCATTACATACAGTAGGTTTTTTTTTCTTTTCAAAGCTATTTTTTTTTTAGTATAGTTAATATAAAGCAGTTGCACAAAAAGCAAAAGGTGTTTTGACAAACAGGTCTGCATTTATTCCTTTTGAGGAATGATATCTAAAAAAAAGGACCTTTCCACCTTTTCCTCCCTCCCCGCCCTCCCCCCAAAAGACAAAGGCTCACACAGACACAGTGGGATATATATGTACAACATAATAAACCCCTCCCTAAAGAAGCAACTGTATATCCAAAGGGATAGAGAATCAGAATTGTAAAAATCATAGTGAAGTTTGCTTGATGTAAAGCCTGAGATTTTCAGTTGGTTCTTCTGCAAGGCTGCGACACCTGCCAGATATGTTAAAATCTAATTTTTTATTTCTTTTTCTCTTTTTTTTAAGTTTTTTTTTTGTTTTTGCTACAGTCTTTAGACTAAGCATGCAAGACATACAACTAAGTGCAACTGAGTGAAATGTATTTTTTTTTATTTACTCATTCCCTAACAGTTTGGACTGAGGTATGCGTACTAACAGTTTTCTCATGCTGTTATCTTTACTCATGTCTAGCTACACATGCTGAGGATGAACTAATCTACCAGATTTTAATCCCCTTCTGAATCCCGAACTAACCAGCAAACCACTCAGTTTAGAAGCACAGGGCTCAATTCTCATGATCCCCATCTGGCTACCGCCGGCACGTCACGAAGCTGCCTGGATATAATTTAAATGAAAAGAAAAAATGTTTCAAATGACCACAGACTGCCCTTTTTTTTTCTTTTCTTCTCTGTTTTTTTTTTTTTTTATGTCTTTTGAAACAGAAAGCAGAGTTGAGTTTTTATCAAAGTAACTGCCAATAAAATTTCTTGTACCAAAGCTTATGAGTGGACAGGAGTGTTATTTCCTCATGAAAAATGCTGACCAAAAAAAAACTGAAACAAAACTGAGCAAATGTGCCAAGATCAACCAAAACTCAAGCAGTCATCCTAGCACAGTCCCGGAACAGAAGTGGCACAGAATCTGCAGAACCAAAGACCAAAAAATTGTTTTTCTTTTAATTCTAGAAATACTATTACGTTGTCCAGGTTAATTGTGGGAGCTTTTCTGTTCTCTTCTGTCTTTTATTAAACTGTCTCCTTTATCTGATACTCTAATCTTCCACAAAATAACTGTGTCTTTGCTTTCTCCAGCTCCCTTCTCATAGCTCCACCAGTAACACTGATTCCTAGTTTTAGCCTCAAAAGCTCTCCTCGATTCCTCTTTACAGACTTTCATTTTGGTCACTGTAAAGAATTGCAAATAAAAAGTAATAACTTTGGTTCAGACATCTACTTGGACTTCTAAATTTTCTAGAATAAAGGAGCAGTTTCCCTCTCAGGTTAGCAATAGCCCACATCTTGTCATTTCCCTCTAAATTCTTCAACCTCCTTTGATCAACAATAAGAGGATATTTGGCTTCATAAGATAAAGCATATAACAGAGAACATAATTTACGTTTGTGTAATATCTTTGGTAATTTTAGGAAAAAGAAAGGTACAAAGAAGAATATAAATTAAGCTCTGAAAGGCTTTTTGAAATAATAAAAAAGCTACAGTCCTACATAAATAAATGAGTGATGGAAAGTGGTTGCAGAATGAAAATATTTAGGTGTTTGGTGACCAAGGTTTATTGACCTATCACAACAAATTTTGTATGTCATGTTTGCTTTGAAGAGCCTTGCCAGTTTTCCTTAACAAGCGAATTCTCTCCTGGATCTCCTGTCTCCTATGGCGAGGTTTCCATACTGGCTGGTGTAATATTGCATAACAATCTTAACTGCAGTACTGGATTTGCACAGCTGAAAATTAACACTTTTAGCATTAGTGGGCCTCTGTCCTTATTAACTCTGTAACAAGTACAATCTGAAATCTAATTTGTATTCAAACAGATTAATGCCACCAAGAAATTCTGAGCCGATGTTTAACCGTGAAGCATCACCATGTACAATAACAATTTAATGAAGTCATCTTTCCAAGCACTATTTGCAAATGCAAATGCATAAGAAGAAAAAAAATATAATTGTAATAATAAATGTATAGGTGCCCATCTCTGTAATCTTAGATATTCCAGAAAGATTTGTTGACCCATTAGAACTCGTGTTAACCAACCGAGAACCTGCCACTGTACTATTCATCCTCTAACAAAAGTGAACTCTGTTGGTGCTGCATATATTTCTTTGTGCTGTTCAATTTTGTGGCATTTGCTAATATTCACCATTGCTGCCAAAAGAAAAGTAATAAAAAAATAATCAAAAAACCCAAACAAAAAGAAAATATATTAAAAATACTGCTTTGTGGAATGAATCTGTGTTGCTTCCTACAGTGTTTCTATGTTCATCTGTCATTCATTCTCATTCTTGCAGTACTTCGTTCCTCTCTCTCCGTTGGACAACCCTTCCACATGTATCGTGCAGCATTTGGGACCTTTTCAAAAAACGACAACAAAAAAAAAAAGGAGACACCGAAATGGAATGCTTTCCATAGCTAAAGAAAACATGGTGGCATCTGAAGGAAACTGGAATGAATGACAGAAAAAACTACAAACAATTCAATGACATTCAGCTTCGTATAATAAAAACACCTATTAACATTCATCACAAAGTACAGAAAACGTTGAAGCCTCTGAGAGGCCCTGGGCCCAGATGAGGCCTGAGGTCAGAACTTAAAATGGTAGAGGAGAAGTGGGGCGGGGGAATAAAAGCAATACATTAAAATGTTTGGGATAATTTTTTCTTTTAACCCCTCCCCGATATACACGCTCACACGCACACACACATATCCACACACGTGCACACACAGGCCTTCCCCATCCCAAATGGAAGCAAAAAAACAAGGAAAAAAAAAAGGCAAAAAAAAAAGAAACCAACCAAAAAACAAAAATATGGAGTAAAGGCAGTGATAATCAACATGCAGTACTGTGCAAATATGTTGTCCATTGGAATCCTTAAAATCTGGGCAAAGACTTGATCTGCAGTTCAGGTGTACATGCTCAGTTTGATGTCCTCAAATGTCCAAAATTGGCAGGACCTGCAGTCCACAGCTGGCTGCTAAATGCAAGTGAATCAGTTTAGCAAATTTACAACACTGATGTTGACTGTAAGAGAGGAAAATCCCAAGTACCAAACAAGTCCATCCAATGCACAGAGTACAAATTCCTTTTTTCAACAAAAAGTAGAAAAATCAAAAATACTCCCAAATGGGATACTTGATGGCACTAAGAGTTAACATATTTCATAGTTGTCAAAGTGGACTGAGAATCCTCCAGACTGTACAATAATGGAGAGATTTCACAGCTAAGTTTTGACGCGTTTTTCCAATCTTCATTCTCAGCATTAACGATGTCAGACATACTCATTCTATGTCCTCATTTACAGGTTCATCTTCATAATCTCTGTCATGATCGAAATCTGGACTGTGGTTGGCTGTTGTCACTAAGGATAGCGGGCCTTCATTTTCATCTGGATCTAACGGTTCTTCTTTGACATGCACGGGGTGCCTGGAAAAACAAAACCATGGTCAATCAGCAAGCTGCTTGTTAAAAAATTTTTTTCACAACTTGATTTGGGGAGAAAGATATGGTGGTTTGGGGGTTCAGACTTGATGCATCAGGTCTAAGAGCTCCAGCTCATCAAGGATAAGACCCTCAGCTTCTGCACTAGCCACTAAAGCCGAGCGAAGGCTACACCACGCAAGCAGTGCGCAACTTCCCTGGGAAAACACTCTGGGAGGAGCGCCTCAATTGGGCTTCCGCCTCGGGATCGAGAGAAAAACGCTCTCAGCTGACATATTAAGTTAATACAATCTTTGGATAAATAAGCAGAATAAGCACCCGAATGGCAAAGCAGTGGTTTGCCAGTCTGCCGAGCCAGCAGAGGCTGGGCTAATCATCGCGCGCTGTGTGTGCAGCGTCTCTCGTTAACATGCAGAACCTGTGAGGCAACTCTCCAGAGGACGACCCCAAGTGAGGTTCTATCATTAATCAACTTCAAGCAAACACAGCAAAGAGACACCATGATACATGCTTTAAACTCCAAATTAATGCATATTTTTACAAACTGTCAATAAGGGAAGAAAAGCCCTGCCAGGAAACACAAACAGAGAGGAAAAGGCTCGCTCAACACAACAATATGATAAGAAAGCACAGTCCTAACGAGAATAATAACACTGTCAGCTGTAAACAAGGCAGAACATGATCCCCAGCTCATGGTGGGCACAAGGATGTACTAAAGAGATGAGATCTGCCAAATTTCTCACTACAGCATCGCACATGAATAACCCGCGGGGGAACGGGGCTTGGTCATTCAAAACGGGTATGATAACAATTGAAAATTGTTGTTCGTAAATCATATTTACAACAAATCCTATACAAATACAAATTACCTTCCTCCCCCCCTTTTCTTTTTGTTCAACAGCTTTTGAAATGTAAAATAGCCATGTGAGTCAATAGTGTCTTGTTGCTGGGACTTTAAAGGAAAGTAGGATTTTATTGACATTACCAAGTATTAATAATGCGACACAGCAATGGAGACCCTGTTTGCTTCCTAAATAATTGATGTTGTAGGCAATCCCTTAAAATAAAGTGTTAATGAGTTCAAGTCCCACTCTGTCTCTCATTGAGTTGATATCCACCTCCTAGAGTCTTGGGTTTTCTCCATGCAAGCTGACTTAACCCTTTCACATAGGCTCTGTGAAACCATGATCTGAAGCGCAAACCCTCCTTGTAAGAACTTCTCTCTTGTGCAGCTTTCCTTTAAAATGAATGATTTAAAATAGCTGCATTTTATTTTATGGTCTGTGTAGATAGGAACGACAATACTGTTTGTACTCTGCTGCACTGGTGGACAGCAAGAATAAATCACCAAACAGGCAAAATGGGCTTGGTAGCCGTGTACAAGCCAAAGGTACTCTGCTTACTGCAAATGACCCTGGTGAACCAGTTGTACCCCTGCACAGACTGCGAAGGTGTACCACACCCTGCTTATTTATTTTGACTTGAGTTTAGGAAGCATCTAACATGCTGACTACAGACCTCTCTAAGGCAAGCTGTGAATGCCTTTCAAGTCCCTACATATTTCAACTTCTTGAGTTGTAAAGTCAAGGAGATCAATACTTAAGTATTAACTGCGTCTTCCAACCCATCCGACAAAGGAAGAAGTGATGCAATATCCATGTACACAGACTTTTTCCTTTCAAATTATAGAATCAGAGAATGGATAGGGTTGGACACATGGCCTATCAACATACTCTGGGAGCAGAAAGGTTCCTCTGCATGTTGCATAATTTTTGCAAAAAATACAATGAGAGATATTGCTCGTACAGTTTTGACCTAATTATTGAAAAATGAGGGGTAAAAAACCACTGGGACGAGATGATTCAAACATCAGAGGTTAGGAATTAGCACAAGCACAGCAAAAGTCTCACGAGCAATCGTCACCGCAGAGGTGTGCGTGTGCTAACTGTCCTGGCGGCTCGTGGCCCTCATGAATGTGAAACCATGCTGATTACCTGCAACTAGGCAAACTTGTATTATGAATAGGCTGTGGGGCCCCTCACTTGGGAGAAAACATGAAATGAAAAACAGAAGAAAAAGGGGCAGAAAGTGCCTACACACAGAGATGGATAAAGTGTGTGCTACCCGGCCTTTATGGCAGTGATCTCTTTTACTGCTGCCTTAATTTAGAAGTCCTATTTGCTTGTTTCTGGCTTTGATGCTGCTGCTGGGCTTGTGGATTTTGTGTTTTATTTTTAAAAAAAGTATTATTTTTGAAAATGCAAATGAGAAATTTTAAAAGGAGAGAGGAGAACACACGCCACATGCAGCAGAGGTGGCTTTGCTACATGGACCAGAGTTTGCCCAAAGACTGCATCCCACCACCTTCTGCTTGGCCGGGGGGCAGAAGTGAATCGGTGCTAGCAGGTAAGTATATTAACCACCTGAAACGCTGTGAAAGCTCTTTCAAAGGTCCCTGAACCTTTCCAAAGCAAACTCTTGCCCCCCTTCTGGTTTTGTTATGAAAGCAGGTGAAACCAGGTGGTTTTAACTGAGTTTGTCTTTGAGTTTCGGTGTGGTTCCCACAAGTCAAAAAAGTCCAAAACTTCAGGAGTGAAAAGCAAAGCAAGCACTCAGTTGTGAAAAGGGCCGTCTGACCCCAAGCAAGACAAAGCCAGGAAGGGCCAGAAAGCCACGGGGTGGCACAGCCACGCCAGCCTCCTCCAGCAGCTCACATGTCACACAAACACCAGACAGCGCGCCTGCAAAAACTCCATCCCCCAAATGAGGAGGGTACCTGGGAAACACACCCCCCCAGGGAGAGAGCTGTCAGGAAAACAACAACAAAAAATCAACTCCTTGTGTACTCTGTCAGCTGTAACCACAAAGTAGCGTGTGAGGAGGAAACCTTACTGAATTCATGATTTTGCTCAAACGTTTCACAGCATCTGAAATAAATAAGCTTAAGTAAGCTCAAGGGCAAAGGGAGATGTTCGTATCTCTCAAGTTAAGCCTGAATCTCCGTTTACCAGCTCACCAAAACCCCAAACTGGGGAAGGAAAACTTCCTTTAGATAGTGAAGGATTCAGTTTTCTGAATTACAGAAAAGGTAAATGCTGGCCTAAGCAAAAAGGAAAAAAAAAAGCTGAGGGGGTGGGGGGCAGAGAAAGAGAATTAAAAAGAAAGGGTTTCCCATTTCTATTTTCGTAGTAGTAGAATCTCAGCACATTCCTTTTAAGAAGACGCCTAAGACTCCAGAAGGGGTTAACAATAAATAACCTTGCTGAACACAGATTCCCCTTCTTTTCACATCTGAGTAATTCTTTTGTTTGTCCACTCTGGGAACAGAGGAGTTTTTAATAAAGCTGACTGTTGTTTAAAGCCACTGAGTACTGGTGGTGCACACAGCATGGAGTAGTTTGCTTTGTGGCTACCTTTGGAGCATATCAGGATGAAAGTGTTATGTCCCCAAGCTGTAATTATGCGACTACTTTCTAGTGTTTCAAAAGGAGGGAGAGAGAAGGGGGAAAAAAAAGGAAAAACCTAGCTGTGGTTCAATGTGTCATAAAAAGGAAACAAATGAGCGGTAATAAGACTTCAGCTAAAGTGTTAGACTTCTTAGCTGTCATGTTAACAAGGTCCTTTAAACCTTACAATAAAGTTTAAAGCTTGATTTCTTCTAATACACTGAAATTGTTTAAAAAATAATTTGCATGATGACAAGGAAATCTGTTCAGAGAAAAAAATGGAAAATGTCATTCACAAAGCAGGCTGACGGGAAAGAAGAGGTTGCACAGCGTCTGGAAATTTGCTGTTGACTCATGACTGTATTTAGTAAACAGGGTAAAACCCCGTGATGAGTGAATGGTGTTCTGGCTTTAGATCCCTTCGAACTACTTAGAAACACCATTTTAAGGGGAAGCTCAGCGGCTGCTATTGGAACATCACCCGGTCACATTTTACTTAAGCAAAAAGAAATGTTGAGCAGAGAACACATATATTATCAATTCTGAGAAAATGAAAACACTCAGGAAACAATCATTTCCATATTACAACAGAAAATTGGATTTTCTGGTGAATAATGAAAATGAGGCATCGCTCCCCCTGACCTCCTCTCTCTCCAGTATTTGTTCTGTGCCCCTCACCTTGGTATCAATGTGCTAAGAGATGATTATTAAGTGCAACAAAGGCCACAGCTATGCACAGTTCTGGAAGATGTCCTAGCCTGTTTCAACTCAGTTATTTTTCCCTCCTTGCAGTCTCTTCAAAGACAACGAAACCTTAGGTGAAATGAGAAGCGCATGAACTACACTAGCCTTGAACTTGCTAAAAAATAATTACTTGGATTAACACAACATCATAAACATTCATCCCTGTCTGTTAGGCCAGGAGAAACCCTTGGGAGAAGTCTTGTTTCTGGAGAAAAGCCATGTCCCCCCACTCCTCCTTCACTCCGGCCCTACATGGTCACGGGGCAGAGGATAACGAATTGTGACTAAAACTGCCTCAAGATGAATCTGTTTGTGAGGGACAGAAAGTGTGTCATGCAACGCTACTTTGGAGGGAGATAATTAATACTGCACAAACAACCACTGGAAAAGCTAAACACGTTATTTGAATGTTTTGAAGTAAATGGCAAAAGACAATGTTTAAATTAATTATTAATTAAAAATGAATGTTGCCATCTTTAAAGTTGTTTTTTTTTCAAAGCACTTTGTGCACCGATTTAAAATACTGCAATATCAAAGTACCCAGAGCCTCAGATTTCTTCGTGCCCCCTCCCCTCTGACAACACATTATGCAGGTGGGAAACTTTTTTTGCCATTAAATGCTAATTAGTTTCACAACTAATTACAATCACGGTATTAGGTTAATGTTTTTCTACTTTTTGATTTAGACTTACTTTTGTAAATCCCTTATTCAAATTACTTTGAAGTAAAAGACTACAAATTAGTTCTCTTTTTAATGTGTAATGTGAGTCGTAGCAATCCAGCCAGTAATTTTACAGCCTGTTGTGAGGAGCAGAAAGGCAGCGTGGCTCTTGCGCACGGTTGCTCATATAGGTACCCAACTGCTCCAGAACTACGAGACTTATAAACGCCGGCTTCCTCACCAGCTGCCAATTACCCAGTGTGTAATGTGAGGGGAGGGGAGAGTTTACAGCTTTGCAAACTCACTCCATCACCCCATAAATACTGAGCACACCCATTGGGGCATCACACCCTTCCTGCCTTACCCTTTTCCTGCTCCAGTTTGCTGCCCGGGTGCCATTCACGTTGAGCAGGGACAGCGATCCCCTATTACTTCATGTGGTTATATATGCCCTCATTATACTGCCGTCTGTTGCTATAATGCTCCTATTAATTTTCCTTTTGATATTTTAAGAGCAACCTATAAATCAAGCAGACCTTCACATGTGCCATCATTAATGCTTAGTAAGGCTGTTGTGTGTTGAGTGGTTCTTTTTAGACCCACCAAACAAGCCCATTTCCTACCCCTGCTCCACTGGCCACACTTGTCGCATGGACCAAAGGGGAAAGAAATCACATTTTTTTTCTCCAAGAAACGCAGCTGCCTATGAGATTTTGCTAAGCTTAAAAACAAGAATTGAGAACGACAATTTTACAGCTCTGTGTGCTTGTCTGACTGGATTGAGCTGATGGGTTTTATGTGGAAACTGGTAAACAACTGTTTTACTAAGAACCTAAAAGAATCTAAGCATGTCTCCAAGTGGAGATGTCTACTCTTGCTGCTTCATCCATGAACCTCACGAATCAACCATGAAGGTCTCCAGAATCACACTTCAGCAGACCATAAGACAACCCTAGAGCCACACGCATGCCGCTGCTGTACTTACATTGCTTGCATAGGGGAACGTCCTGGACTACTGTCACTCCCGTTACTGTTCGTATGCTCCATTGCACCATTGAGCTCTTCCCTCATCGCATTGGCTAAATTGCCCAGAGTGGGATTTCCCATGGAAGCAGTAGTGTATAGAGGTATACTGTTCTCAGCCATTGAAGCCTGCCAAGGACACAAACACGTATATGAGAAGCCATGACTAACGTTTTTATACATTGTACAATATGCTCACTTCTTCCAAAACATTCTCCACATTTACATTATTTGCAATTACCAGGTTTTAAAATATTGTGCTTTCTGATAGGTATTACCCTGACTCTACTAAGGGAAATTTAACATCACTTACATCTGGGTTTAAGCATTCATAGCTGTATTGGTTTGTGAGAGGACAGAGCTTTCCATTCCCTATTTGGAATTAAACCCCCTGGAAAAAATAAAACGTCCTTTTCCTATTTTCATTTTGCAAAATTATGTTTGGGGCCTTGGGGTTTTTTTGTGGCTTAGGTTTGGGTTTTGTTTTTAATGAAAAGGGGAAAAAAATCAAGACTTGCTCAGCTGCTTAACTTTGTACCAGACCAAACGGGCACGAAGCAGGAGGGCAGCGGTAACGAATTTGGTTTTCTTTGGGACCCAAGTGTGAACCAGTGGTTAGCATTAACTGGATCAGTCAAGTTGTACTGATCTACCTGAGAACTGAACCAGTCCATGTGAATTTTTTAAGCTTCAGCAACTCAGCTCTTACCTTGGCTAATACAGACCTGACTATTTTATTTCCATTTTAACTTGTTCTAAAGAAATGCCATGCAGAGGCACACTGGAGTTAACTTTCTAAATGGAAATCTTTGTAGGAAGAGAATGAACTGTTAAATATTTTCCTTCTGATTCCCACCGTTCTGCCTGCTAATATTTACTGTGTGTCAGTATTAGCTCATGCTGACGGCACAGTCCTGTGCCCACTGCGGCAGCGGTGTGAGTGCAGAAGCACCAAGCCCTGGAGGAGCCAAGTGTTTGGCAGGGATGGGATGCGCAGCTTTCCAAGGCTGCAGCGCCCAGGGACCTAAAGGACATTCAACCATTTCACCCATCCCAGCTGGATCTGACTGACATCATCCACAGATTTCTGAGTGCTGGGGAGCCACAGACACTGGCTCGGCAGCGCTCCACCTGCTCCAGAGGGAGCTCAGCCGGCTGCAGCAGCAGAGGCAAAAACTCCATCAGGCTCCAGGTCTGTGTGATGCAAACCCTGCCCATGGGAGGAGAATCCATGCAAATGTACTCCATGCAAATGTACTCCCCACCGAACCCTCTCGCCTGCTCCTAATTCATGGGACAAAACTCCTTGCTTGCTGCTATCTGAGCCAGCAGAGATGTTCACAGGCACAGCCAGAGACCGGGCTGAGGACAGGGAGGAACGACCAGCACTGACTGCAGCATCTTCAGGAGCATAGCCCCTTTTATTCTTCCTTATGCTGACCTCTCCATGTGCAGCCCTATGTGCCACAGATGATTACAAAAGCTATTCTAACAGGGAGGATTATTTTTATCTTCTTGATTCAACAACCGGCAAACTCATTGTGATTAGGGGATGCAAAGAATGGTTCACATTTCCTGCACTTGGCAAAATAATGACTCAAGTTCTTCACCCATAGTGATAACTTGTAATTGCAGTAAAGCAATTTACTGGGGGAGAGGTGGGACACGAGGAGTATCAGCTATAAAGATAATAAGAGGGGAGGGGGGTGCTTTGGGAGCCCCCGGTGACCCGCTGGGAAAAGAAAGCTCTGGTGAGAGCTGGAGTCCCTTCCACACACAGAGGGGAGAGAGCTGCTGCTTCTTCCTCACACAAGGGAGTATGTCAGAGGGGTCTGGGTGAAAGAGAGGGGCAGCTCTGACACCCCACAGGCGAAGAAAACCAGCCTGCCATCCCAGGGATGTGCAAAGAACCAGTCTTTGGTGATGTCCCCAAAAGACTAGGGAACACTGCTCCTTAATTATTAATTAGGCTGAACACAGGCACTGGCAGGTAAAGTGGCTTTGTGTCCTAAGAGGAAGGTTGCTGCCCAAGCGAGGTCTGAAATGCCAACATGGTACCAGCCACCAGATGGATTCACCCAAACGCCTGCACAGCATCTGAGGACCTGCTGGGATTTTGCCTCAAAAATCCAATGAGGGGGGAGAACAGAGATGAACCTACTGGTATATTTTCAACCAAAAAAGAGGCCCTGTCCAGTGCAATGTATATTTTTCACCCCCATTTATTAGAGGCATCACAGTGGTAGCAAATATGGCCCAGGCTCTTCTCTCCATCAATTCGGTTCACAGGATCCTATGGGGGGTGGGCATGAGTACATGCCACTTCCAGGAAAGTAGGGAAATGGAAACAGTTTGGAGGTTATCACAAAAGACAAGAATGGATGGAGATGACGACAACGACACGTGTTTCAGAAATAAAACACGAACAGTTCCATATGACAAGCATATTAATTGAAATTAGTCACATAGTTAACAATGTGAAGAAATGCAGGATCATTTCAGTTTTGCCTTTCAGCCTCATGAATGTAAAATGTGCTTGTAATCTTAATACTATTCAAGAGACAAAGCAGTCTTTAAAAAATCACACTTCACAAGACTCAAGGGAAAATAAGTTACTAATGAATGGTATTTACAGTTGCTTCATTTAAACATGCTTTCCTCTGCTTTTCAGAAGTTACTGCATGAACTCAAATGAGAAGAAACATTTGTTTTTCTCCTAATAAACTGTTTCTTGGTTCTGTAAAGAGAAGTCTGCTAAACCTTTCACAAAATGCAGCTGCCCAAGCAAATACAGCCATCAGTGAACTTCTCGAGAAGCAACCCTCAACAAACAACTGGGGTGCAACCACACATGGATTAATCCACAATGTATGGAACAGGCTTGAACCCCACACAAACATACACACACCCCCTTGCAAATTCAGGGCACAGTAATGCATTCATATCTTTGGTTCATGTAGCAAATACTGACTTTACCTGGTGCTTCTGCGATAGGGATTTGTGTGTGGGGGGGAAATATAGCGCATGAAAAAGAGCCCGAGAAATGCACACTTTTAGGCTGCAAGTTATTAATTGTGTACCAACACTTGTGCATGTCTACAGAGTGAAAAAACAGAATTTGTGTCTTACAGTTTAAATCAATAAAAAGAATCTTTTTTTTTTCTATAGGAATTGCGAGGTTTATTTTCTACTAACAATAGGAAGATATGTAAAAATAGCCCTTAAAAGAAAAGGGGGAAAAATGATCTGCTTTCTCTTTAAACCCATGAACAATAGAAGGTCACGTGCCGCAGTATCCTATCATTCAGCACATTAATAGCTGTGCTAGAGTAATTACACTTGTGGTATTTTTGCCTCAAGTGAAATTCTGAAATAAGAGGATGGAAATTATGATACTGCTGATAAATATTAATAAGTGAACTTTTAATTTTTTTGCCACAATATTCAAAATGCTAAGCATCTAGCTAATGCTGAAGCAGCCTGATATGTGTTTGCCTCCAGGGACTATGATGCTTTATGCACTTAAGAAAAAAGTTTAACGGAATTAAAATTTAATATCTAATTAGAGCAAGGCTAATATATTTTGAAATGAGTGGGGAAGACACACGCCTCTGTTGCATATTCGCTACAGTCATTAATCTTACCTGTAAAGCAGCATTGAGAGGTGTGCAGTAGGTGTGGCTGGTCTGTATGTTTTTAATAAGAGAAGGGTTACTGCATAAGAAAAACATAAAAAGGAGAGTTAAATGCAACCAACTTCTGTGCGAGCGTTTCAAGCACGTAATGCTTCCTCCCACATCAGAAAACTAGAGCTGAGACTGTTTTTTCACACAAGTTCTTCTTTTTTTTAATGTAAAGAAAATATCTGAGTTTCAGGCTACAGTTATCATATTTGCCTTTACTAAATAAGGAACATCATTATCTCTCAATGTTACCTCACCATGTGTTCTACTACCCTGCATTAGCAGCACATCTTGGCATCTCTGCTCATTTTAGCTGTGTTCAGGAGAAATTCTCCAATATTCGCCGTGTCTGGGAGCCAGTTACCATGTAAAGGTCCACCATGAGGAGCTATGAGCAAAAGCATCATGGGACATTTTAAATACTGCTTCATGCAAATCATCCTCAAAGTCTCTGGCAGCAGAGTCCCTCACAATGGAGCAGGGGATGGTGATGACAGAGGATCTGAGCCACGTTACTTCCTGCCAGGCAATGGCCCGAAAGGGACTGGCTACACCAACACCCTCAGTCTGGGGCTGCAGGCATGGATGCATGACAGCAGGTACTGCTGCACTGCAGCAACGCAGTACAGACCACACAGAACAACATGCTGCCCTAAAGGCCATTTTAATAAAAACTATTCTGGTGTGCTATTCTGGACCCTTACTTTACTCATCTTAGGTTTACATAAGGGGTCAGATTTGAGGAAAATGAATGCCAAGCGTATCTGCTCTCTCTGTAGCAGGCATCTAAATACCACTGGTTCCACCAGAGGAGAAAAAAAAATATTAAAAAAGAATCATCAAATACAACCTAGATAAAAAGTGACAATGCAAAAATCTCCAACAAGTTTTAGCACTCACTGGGTATACTTATTACTGGGTTATTTTTTTTCACGTGGGAATAAATCATGGTGAGAAGAGTCTTAACTGAGTCCCTCCCACAGGGACCAGCAAGGATCAGTTGTCCTGGAGAGATGGACTTCAAGTAAAGGTCAAAGAAAATTGCTTTGGGAACCCCAGGAATATTTGTGCACCATTGTTGTAGACACAGGTTGGCCTGTTGATTATAATCTTTACAGCTGGTCTCACTCTGCACTTCCAAACTTTCTGAAGTTAATTCAGCGTTTCTGTTTTATAAGCACCTTACTCTGTTTCTTTGCAAAACAAAGCATACAACTGAAACCAAAGGAAAACATCAGAATTAAAACTTATCTAAAGCCTTTCCTGGCACGTATGTGTCTTCCTGACAGGTCTACAGCAGCATTTCGGTGCTAGCGTGGATAATTATTTTAGTCTATATTGCACTATAAACAAACGCTATCACAGGCATGTCAAAGAAGAGTTATTACTATAGGCATTTGGATTATCAGAGTAGGACACACAAAATACACATAACAACCAAAAATTTAGTTTCTTTAGCAGCAAAGGTGATGTCACTATTTCGTGAAATGCAAGTCTACATGAGATGGGTAAATCATGCAAAGCAAAGCAACAGCAGAAAAAAAAATTAAAGCAAGTAAAAGCTCTTACTGTGCAACAAGCTCGCCAAAGTTTTCATCAGGGCAGTATTTTCGAGGACGGCCTCGTTGAATATGACGGCCACGTTTAAACTCTTCATCATCAACAGTCCAAAAGGACCCAAACTCATCCTCTACTCTGATAAAGCACTTATGCAGTGAGAGGTTGGTGCGAATGGCACCCTGGGACAAGAGCAGCAGCAAAGGAGATGAAGTGGAAACAAAGGGACACGGGATCGGGGACAGAACAGACATCAAATACAGGGAAAAGGAAAAAGAAAATAAAATGCAATAAGCATAAGCAAATGGTTTGTGAGGGTTAATATGCATTGCCACCTAAAAGCTACTAGCATGTGATGCAACAAACACCAAGCAAGCAGGGTCAGGGTACTGGTGGGCATACAAACAGTAGTGATGAGATGTTTGTCTTGGTTTCCCTTAACTGAAACAATGCGAAACCACCTGTGGTTGGTCTAACACCAGCTAGCAGCCAAAAGCCTCTACGTTAAACTGTAAGCATGATCCAAGCTAGGCTAAGAAGTTCAAACATGGTGGACATACCCACTGATCTTTTGTGGCCTTCGTTTTTGGAACTCTTGTTCATCCACTGTCCATACTGCCCCTTTAACGTTTTCTACTCTCACAAAACACTTGTGAAGACTAAGATTATGACGCACTGCATTCTGCAGCAAGTATAAAAGAGAAAACATTCAAAAACTTTCTATGAGAAAATGCTCATCATTGTCCAAGAACAGCAGCACAGTCAGCTTGACAGTCCTCATTTTGCAATGTTAAGCCCCTTCCCCTCCCCGCACCCACTTGCTTTCCCCAGCTCTTTACATCTTCTTTTGCAAAGACAAAATAAATACGAGCTTAAACCTGAGATTAAAAATTCAAGTTACTCTTATCAATTATCCCCAGTTTGAATGAGAAGAGCCATCACCTTAAGCATGCATGTTGTATAATACAGCACATTTCATACAGAATACAAGAGGAACATTGCTCAAGACATTTTCAAAACAAATATATATGCTCTGAAAGAGAAACTTCTCCCCTCCTGGAAAAGAAAGCAGTTAGAAAGGATTTCACACAAGTACAGACAGCTCAATTTAGCAGGGAGGCACTGGAGCAAGTGTTGTGGCTTCCCACAGCTGGGCTAATGTGAATCAGGTGCTGAACCTCCTTCCATACCCACTGCATGGACCGGGGGCTCGGCAGCACCCCACCGCCCAGCACGGCACTGACTCCTGCCTTCATGGCCTGTTCTTATATGGAAGTTGGCTCCTATTTCTGGCAGACTACTGTACTGACTGATCTGAGCCTCTGCCAAGTAAAAACATGAGGAGGGCCCTCTGGAACAAAGTGATAATATCCCCACAGCTCATCACCCAGAGGGACCCACGCTCATGGCATCCGATGCTCAGATGTCCTCTATGCAGCTTGGTGCTGCAAAAGGATGAGCCAGGCCAAATCCTCCAACGTGCTTGGACATTTAATGAAGCCAGGCATAATGAGACACCTCGCTATGTCCTGGCAGGCTGCTGGCTTTTTTGTCCCTGCCCCTCTGAAACGGTGCCGAGAGCCTTGTTATTCCTCAAACAGAGTGCCATGCTCCTTCCCTGTTTTAGGAGCTTTCTGAGGAAATACCCTACTACAACAGTTGGAATTGATGATCTTAAAGGTCTTTTCCAACCTGAACGATTCTATGAGTCTACAAAGCCACAGGAATTTGTACATGGAGCTTGTCCCCAGCACTGCTGAAAGGGGCTTGGTAAACAGGGAGAACAGAAGAAGCCATTTGCTGAGAATATACAGGCGAACAAATTCCCTATCACTGGCACCACCGATTTAGTCAATCTGGTTGACTTGTTAGCAGGCACAATGCCAGCCAAACACATGGCCTGAGTCTAGGCAACTAAGGGACTACGATTTTTTTCCTTCCTTCGTTGTCTTCTTGGTTTTTTTTTGTTGGCTTTTTTTTTTAATGAACATCAGGTCTGCATTGTGAAAAGGAGCTCTAATCATGAATGTCTAAATTACTGTGCAAACAAAGGGTATGCACAGTGCATTTGTCATGTAAATTAAGAGGCAGTGGTGTGTGTGCCTTGGAGGGAAAGGCTAAGAGTCTTCTGCTACTCTTCCATTTCTCTGCAATCACCAGCATGGTCCCCACACTCCTGCCCATGGTGCAGGAAAAGATTCAGGGCTCAAACTGCCTTCATGCAGCAGTTGCTTGAATGCAAACGCATCTCCTCTGGCTATAGGAGCTCAATCCCAGCACTTTGGCTTTTCCACCCTGATCTGCTTGTGAAATGGTGGAAAAATTAACCTTGAATATGCTTTCCCTCTCAGCAAAGCAGAAATGTAGCAGAGATCCAAACACTCCCATCAAGGCTACCTCCTGCTGCCTTTACTTTCTTCTGCCCTTACTTTTTAACAATTTTGTTTTTCCTCCTCCCACCTCTTCCAGATTTCACTACTTTTGAAATTTTTGGCAAAATCCCTGATTTTAAGGTGGAGGAAAAACATCCAAAAGCCCCACACCTTATGGGCTAAAATCAGCCAGCTCAACAACTGCTGGTGGGCGCCGCATTAGTGCAACCTGACACAGGGCTGCTGGCCCACATCTGGGTAACTCAGGCAGTTTCCTGTGAAAATGGGAACACTGTCAAGTCTGGAGCAAAACGTAAGAATAATAATGCTATTTCCCTCAGTGAAAGCTGATCTTGTAGCTCATACAGCAGTTGATCAAACGCACACAGCAAAGTTCAGCAAAGAGAGATCTCTAAATTTGTAAACAGTCTCTAAATACATGGTTGAGCAGAAGTATTTGTATTACTTTTTACATTAATCCTGGAAAATACAGTCTGGTTTTGTTCTCTTGAAGTCAACGTGCAACTGATGGTTACGGCTGCTGGATATGTTGAGACAGACAAGTTGAACATTTGCAAGACATCCATGAAGCGCTGCTCTTTCTGTTTTCCCTGTGATCACTCATTTAAGGAATTCATGGCAGAAAAGAATTGTTTTGTTTCCCCTGCCTCTGGATACTTGCTATCTAACAGATTTATTTGAACAATACTCCAACGTTCTGCAGCCACACCTGCAGCCCGTGCCTCATAGCTGCAACTCCATGCCAGCAAATTACTCCAAAAACTCAAAAGCAAACAGACATTGCCTCTGACCTGTCAGAACCAGTTCACAGTGCTCCCACAGCAATCAGCTTAACAGAAAAATTAGGAGCTATTATTGTAAGATTATATATTTACCTTGTTAAAAATATTTGTATGCAAGCCACTTTTGCACAAAAATTACCCTGAACATGCTTGAATGTAGTAAATGAAAGGGTTTGTTATTTTAATAACTGCTCAGGCTCTGCTGTACTGCATTTTGGGAAAGAGGTTCATTTTGTAAAGGTCTTTATTCCTGCACTCTTCTGTGTTTTTAAAAGAGGGCTCAGGGAAGCTTGCTCACACCAAACCCTGACCCTAAACTTGGGGAACACTAACCTAAATGCCCCCCAAGCATTAGCTGAAGGTGAATGCAAATCAGCACGTATATATTCAAATTATTCTGATTCTGCAATTAGCCCCTTGTGCTTGTTCTGCGCCCCGTGGGCTTCCCATCATGCCAATCCAGAGCTGCATTTTCATCCCCGCTGCTCCTGAAGGCTGGCATAAATCTGAGCAGTCTTCAGCAGGAAAACCTCTATTACTAGAAGCAGTTGAAAATTTTGCTGGTGGAACCTGGGGTGAAGCTCTTCTCCCCTGTTAAGTGAAGCAGGATGCGGGCACCTGCACAAGGTCTCCAAAGGGTATCAGCTTTCCTGGGACACACCTTGCCCTTCTGCAAGCCCGAGGGTCTGCAGCCCAGTTTCCCTTGTCCTCCTCTGCAGACTGCAAGTGTATGTGGTTTCTGGGACTAGATTTTATGTGATGAACAAAGCTAATTCCTAAGACTAGCCTTGCAGGAAATACAACCAGGGCTGCCTGCTACCTTCTTCCACTCCCATTTCCCTTCCCTTTGCTCCTGGAATTAAATAGGATTTTTACATCAGCACCCACACCTGCAGCTGCTGAATAGTCCTACTGGAACCACTCCAGCAGCAAAAGACAGGCAGGTCTAAAAGGATCTTAAATCAGGGAAAGTTAATTTCCTTTCTGGATAGTACGGAAGCTGCAAAGTGAAACACTGCTCATGTTTTCCAACTTCAGTGAAGAATCAAAGCAGCAATCATAGCGACTTTTCCTGAACCTAAGAGTTTCTAGACCAAGGTTAAAAATGTACAACATGGTCTTGGGATCTGAACTAAAAGCAAAATATGCTGCTAAAACCCAAGCTAACTTCCAAGGACCATTTTTAGCTCTATCATCTAAAGGAATTAACTGTAAATGCAGACTGAGACAGGAAAAACAGGAGCTGATGAAACCGCACATATGCAACATACTCATCCTACCTGGTCATATGAAGTTGCTTGAGAGCAACAAAGTCGCCTAGATTAAGAGAAACTCACAGTACCAGGGGTGCAATTTTTACAGCAATACAAGATCCTGTTATTAGATTCATTCATTTGTCATTGCACAAGCTTCAGAAGCCAGTATGGCTATTGTTAACGCCACATGTAAGAGAAGAAGTGGCCCCCCAAAATACCAAATAAAATTAACTCCTCAGACCTCTTATCTAGCAATATCTGAGGTAGTTCTGATAGGAAATTAAAGTGTCAAATAACAAGTTTATTTCTGTAAAACACCTATCTTATTGTGGAGCTTGCTTCTTCCATGTTATGCTCAATAAGCTTCTGCTGTGCAATTTAAACTAATAAAAAGGTGGTTTGCAACAGATCTGTGTATGCAGTTAAGAGTCAGTCGATTGAGGAAAGAAATCCACTGATCTATAGATCCTAGGGAAAAAAGTGGTCGTTGTGATTACAGTGTGCATAACTAACGGACAAACAGTATATCTTCTGACACAATAACTTCACCTCCTTTTTTTCCTTTCCTAATACGTTCCAGCTGAAGGGCTTGAGTTTCACTGCTAGCAGCAACCACACAGAGGAACTCGTGACATAATCCCTGAACATAAAAGCCAATAATGGGGATTCAATTAGTGGTTTTCAAAGGCAGAAGAGTTTTTCTGCCAAATATCAAACTGTTCCTGCAGATAAGGCACCCAGTGTGTGTCAAAACTGCCGATCTACATTTTCATGTCCACACGTCATTACAATTTGTTATGTCATCAGCAACGTCTGCTCTGTACATGTCAGACAGCAAAGGCAAGAGGCACAGGTGAGCCAAGGCTTACCTTCCATGTCGCTGCGTTGCGTCTGAAGTAAGCAAACATTCGCGTGAACCAGTTGTAGATTTCATTTAGTGTTAGCTGTTTTTCTGGCGATTCGAGGATGGCCTTGTGAAGCAAAGCGATTGCAACATCAGTTATGAGCACACCAGTACAAAATACACTCACAGTTTTACTTTACCAAATACAGAAAGGAAAAAAAGGAAGAAAGGAAAAAAGAAGAAGAGATTTGGAGCAAAAAACCTGAAGGAGGTTTTTCACAATATGAACTAAGATTAATGGCTGTATTTAACAGTTCAATGGCAAAATTCAAAATGGAATTATCTAATTGTTTTGAGTTTTTATTTCTGTTTCCTTACAGAAATATTAATTTATCAGTCATTCATAAAGCAGAATCAAAGAGAAATGCAAAACATTTCACTAGCTGATTAAAGCTCAGTAATTATTTAGAGCTCAGATTAATTCTAGGGATCAGAGATTACTGTAGCTTGTGATAATTGACTTGCCATCTTTAAACAGGCTCATTTTCACTGTTGTGTGAAATGAATTTCCTAATAATCACATCGTATTGTAATACTTAATCAAAAGCAATTATGTTATATATTGCAGTTCTAAAAACCCTTATAGTAAAGGTTTGAGCATTTGAGCACGCTTACATACCAAAGGTTTGAAAATCTATTTAATCCAGAATGTGCACATATAGGGAGATAGTTTTTTCCTAATCCAAATGCACGTTTGGCTCAGCTTACCTGTCTAATTAAAGATGCATATGTGAATGGTGGTCTAACTTCTGCGTTCTTATAAAATTCTTGGTTCTGGGCAATATCTGCTAAATAAGAGCAGTTGTTCTGTTATCATCACAGCCTGCTGCTGCCGGGATTCAGGCAACACAAGCTGCCCCACCAAAGGGGCCACACCATCAGAACCACTTTACCTGAAGAAATGGGGACATTGTATTTATCCGAGTACCGCCTCCGGATGGGTCCGACATTGTGCATGCTTGTGGTAGTGATGACCGACGGTCCCTGCGTGACAGGAGTGATGGGCGCAGTTGGGGTGGTGGGAGTATGAGGTAAGCTCTGTGGAGACGCCTCAGATGCAGTCTTGGAAAGCGTGACACTCGATACCAGATTCAGCTGTGAAGGGAAGGACGAAGGTTTCGTTACAAATGGCATTTCTGGCTAATGGAAGGCTGCAAAGAAAATTCTTGGTAACGGAGTCTTCCTCAGTTTGAAGCAAAGAGTACTTGCTTCAGCTCCAAGTGCTGTTGTAACATCTCCATCAGGAGCCAGTAAAGTGAAATAAATATATACATTTCTGAAGAGATTTAAAGAAAGAATAATGTAGCCCGTTGCTGGAACTCCAAATCGTGAATTTTTATCTAAACCTTAGAACAAGATCTCACACAGCACATAATAACTTCAGTATTTTCTTTTAGTTCCATTGTTTCACAGTCTAAACCCCACACATCTCTTATTTCCATGCTGTCATTATGCATAGCTTCTAATCAGTCGTCTTGGATATTTTACTGAAGGCATCAGGCTTAAAATAAAAGGCAAGACTTTCCTAGGGATGTACTAGGGAGAAACTCCATCTCTCTGTTCAGCATTTAGGCTTTTTCTTTCTTCCCCTCCGTTCATCCATTTTAAAAGCAAAGCCCAGAGTAGGTTAACACTGGAATAATTTAATTAATCACACTGCATGAAATACTGCAAGGACTCAGTCCTGCAGAAGTGGCACCACTCTTCTTTTTCCTCCCAGGACAGAAGGTATCGCCATTACCTGCATGAAGCCCAGCCCAGGATAAATGGCAGTTTGCCACCTCAGGCTGTAAGACACAACTGCCTCCACGGTTGTGCATCAAACCCAGCTCCAACTCAAGTGCTTTCAATACACAACCCTATTTATACAACCAGCATCCACATTCCTCCCTGACCCTTTCTTTTTGCCCTACACCATCCTTTGAAAGATGATTCTCCATCTCAGTAGGTCACTCCTGCTGAAGTATTTTAAACAAACAGTCTGATCCCTTAACTACAACATCAGAAAAGACGACTGAGAAAAGGGCTCTTTGACTACTTCCACATTTCCTTCTCTTAGGCAGTTTTGTGAGTAATATTGGTGAAATCCTGACCCCACTGAAGTCAGTAGCAGAATTCCTACTGAATTTAAAGGGAAAATATTTTACAACTTTTGCTCGTTATTAAAATTCCTTTTTGCCTGACATGAAACCTTTTCAGATGAAGGCAAGGCGCAGTACTCGGCTATGCCCCCAAATATCTCATGTTTATCCATAAGGCACTGTATTAATTTTCCTCGCATGAAACTAAGCAGATAAGAAAACTCCTATTAGCACCCCTCATATGAGTTAATAGCCACAAATAACGTTTCTTTATAAAAATAATAGGTAGTGTAAAACAAAGGTAGTGTAAAATAAAAGGCTCTAATATTACAGAAAGGATATTGACACAAAAAGTCCACTGCCCACAGAAAGGGCACAGCTGAGCAACAGGCAAATTGTGACTGCTCTTTCCCCCTGGATTGAGAAGGAGCAAGCATAGGGAAGCCCCAGCCACAAACACCCAGCGCTGTATGGCTGCAATGGCGCATAAGCATCTCCAAAGAAAGAAGGTGGTGAGCAGAGGACCTGCAAACACCCCACCCCTGAGCAGGGGCTTACAACCAATGCTTCGCCTTCCAGTGGGAAACGCTTAACACTTCAGGGCAAAGCCGGAGAGCATGAACCCAGCTAGGGATGGTGAAAGGCGGTGAAATATGGGTATTGATTTCCCAGCGACTCCCACACCAGCGTGAACCGCTATCGGCAGCGTGGAGGTAAGCATGCCTTCCCAGACCCTGCGGGGCCAGCACTGCCGCCACATGCCGCCCGGTCCGATTGTTGACTGGCATGATTTAAGGACACTGATTAGGGACATGTATATAGTAATGTCTCCCTGTTATCCATCTATTACATATGATAAAAGGACCAGTGACGATAATTACAGTACAACTGACAGGTCTCACCATGAAGTTAAATCTACTGTATTTTATCTCAGTTTCTAAATGGACATTTTAACAGTCCAATAACTGTGAGCAAATCTGCATCAATTTTAAGAACCCATCTCCAGTGCAGGCTCGGCAGCCAGGCCCTCCTGTTGCAAAGATCACTGCTCGTGCTTCATCATTACGGCTCCAACTACTCCATTTCAAAAGAGTCCCCTTCCTTTTTTAGTGTGCAAAAACTTAACATTTAATCTGTTTCTACTAGGGAACTGCGAGAAAAGATCCACAAAGGTCACCGTTCCCTGCTTAAAGAATCTGAATTGAGTTAAATTTCTTAAGGCTTTTCAGCATAGGTAGCAAGTAGGAATAAACACAGAAGAGGACGAGCAAAGGAGGGGGGGCTTTAACAGGCTTGACAAATGACACCGTGATTCACACCCACTGCTGGGCTGCCACTAATAAGCTACAGAGGAAGCAGCCAATCTCAGCTAATTACCAGATAAAATTGTATTGTAAGGACTCTAATTAGGAGATGCTTATAGAGGTGATCTAATGATTAAACGCTGCATCCAAGTGACCCCACCATCAATGTGCAGTGGTGCAAGATGTCACTGGAATATTTTGTAGAAACAGTAATTTTATTTCAAGGAGGGGAGGCAGTAATATTTGTAATAATGGCTATGAGGTAAACTAATTAAAAGACAGTTCCTAAAGGAAGACTGTGGCTTTGAGCAGCTGTGGCCGTTCCAAAACAAAGTGCCAAATCTCAACAGAGGAGCTGCAGTCAAGTGGAAAATTTCTGCCTGACCTCTGCTCTTGCTATTAATTTGCAGGAAACCTAATGACACATATACATATTCCCACAAAATTGTTCTAATTGCTAATTTGCCAAAGGAGCCCAGTTTCCAAATTAAACATGACTGCAGTCTGTGAGGAAGGAGAGAACAAAAAGCTGGAACGCACAGAGTCTGCTGCGTTTCACCTCCGACAACCATTTGCAAGCCTGAACCAACAAGTTAATGAAACACGACCTTGTCGATCGCTAGTGAAGTTCTTCCTTTTTCTGTGTTTTATTTGATGACACTCTCCTCTTCCAGCCGGGGTCCATCCCTGCCTGTGCTGTTACCAAAACATGAGATAGGGTAAGGGAGGAGAGGGCTGCGCTCCTCCCGCAGACTTTCGCAGCTGCTTCCTTTGTTGCATCTATAGCGCAAAGGCTGAAAAATCGGTTGTGAATTAGAGCAGAATAACAAATTATGAATGGTGTTGGTTTTGTTGCCATCTTGAATTATTAATCCGAATGGTAAACTATTAAATCTTAATATTGGCATCAATTAGAAACGTGAACGCAGCCATGGGTGATTGTGCAGGGCAAAGATCAGGGAGGGACCGGGCTGGGAGGGTTTCTTTTCCTGATGGAAACTTGACACAGTTTCTCCCTGTTTGCATTTTCTATTTAAAAACAAGCTACTATGATTAGAAAAGTTGATCGTGTTGGTATTTTGTGCGCAGCCTGTTTCCCACATACCGCAATTTTTGGAGGAGGTAGCATTGCTGGCAGAGGGGAAAGGAGCCGAAGTCACGGAGTGAGCACCCCAACGAGCAGGAACTCTTGTACTGCAGTAAGGCACAACATGGGGCACCCTCCAAGTACAGTGGAGAGTACAGCCCCTGCACCAAAGGGTTAAATGATTTCGTAATGTTTGTACTGGGGATGGGGGAGGATTTCCTCCAGCCTTTAATGGAAAAAAAAAGCAAGCGATCACATGAGCCAAAAACCCCCAAACACCAAGAAATAAAAAAACACCAACAGGAAAACCACCAAAGCCCACAACAGTTTTAGGTCCCAAAATTCTGCACATTCAGTCACTGAACCTCATTGGGTGCTTTGTTCAGTTCTGAGTTTTGAGAACATTTCCTCATACTGTTTTAACTTAATCACAAATACTGTAGCTGTTTTAGCGTTCAATATCCTGCTTAGGATTTTATTATTAACTCTTTTCAGAAATAGGCATGTCCTCCTATTAAAGGTGAAGACGGAGTATCTTTATTTTCTTTAGATATAAAGAAGGCAGAGAGGTAACTTTCTCCTTCACCCTGTAAAACAGATTTCCAGTTAAGTGGCTCTCCCACTAAGGCTGTCTGATTTCTTTTTGTGTAAACATTTTGCATGACAATGGTGGCTGGACATGAAAAAGCTCCTAAATCTCTTTTTAGAAGAAAAAAAAAAAAAAAGATTTATGTGTATGTATACATGTGTGTGTACATATATATATGTATACATATATATATGTGTACATATACATATATATGTTTCTAAATGTGATGGTGGGGCCATACCCACTGCTGCAGGTCAGTGACTCTTCTGCAATAGATGCTGCTGCTCTGGTCCCAGCTGGGACTGAGGATTTATCCGTACTGATTTCCTGGGCCTGAAACACTCCAAAGTAGAGATTCCTTTTCTTGACACCCAGGGTGGGAGAGAAAGCTAACACTGGGCCTGAAACTGTGTTAAATGCTGTGTCTTCCTCTCCCATTTCAGCCTGGACACATTAGTGTATTAGATGAGGAGCCTGGCAGGCAGCAATCACTTAGCAGGTGTTGTTATTGGCAGGAATACTAAGGAAACCAAAGCTGAGGAGTGAGACTTAATGAAAACCAGTATATAAAAACAGCTTTTGTTGTGCTTGAGAATCTCTCTTTATTGCTGCGTATCGTTATTTTTTCAAACTATAAAGTCCGGCTGCAGCAGCTAAAATGCTCAGTCATTACCTCAACAGTTAAAAGACTTTTTTTTTTAATGCTTTGTTATTACAGTTGCTAAAAACAGTATTTCAAAACAATCATAACTGCTATGGTTAGGGTAAAAAAATACATAGAAGGGATATTTAACAGTGCATCTTATTTAAAGTGCCAAAAGTTTCTCTCACAGTTTTCTGTCTATTTTTAAAGACGGCTATAGCACCCACTATGCAGAATTACTTGTTGCTTGATGCTTTTTCCTTTTCCCTCCCTTCCTATGAACTTCAACATATGTTAATCCCCCAAAAGAAAGCACATTTCCATTTCAACCTATTACGCTGATCTCTAACACCAATGAAAACAGCATGTAGGGGAAGGCATCTTAATAGCAAAACCAGAATGACAATTCTTAAGAAATCAATCTGGCTTTTGTGTTGTGGTTTTGGTAGGGTTTTTTTGGGTTTTACCTTGAAAAAAAGAAGATCACCATACAAAAAATGTCACAGCCTACTGCTGCACAGAGAACTTTGTTCTTGCTATATTCAGGCCCTTTAGTACCACCAAAACAACACTTGTAGCAGTAACTGGGAACAAATTTGCCTGTTCCGAGTTGTGAGATACTTCCACTTTCTTTTAAAGTGCTGCACCACTGGGTACTTTAATTATAAAGCTGGACACTTTTGAATGTGGCCCTGAGCACTGCAGCTCCTGATGTGCTCTCCCTTCCCAGCAGCTCCTCAGAAACAGGGAATTGCTGCCCTTTGCGGTACACCAGACATCACCTCCACCCTAGCTCGCAGCGGTTTAGGCCATCCACCACTACACTATGTAAGAACACGATAAAATCTCATCGGCTTTAACAGGACTAAAGAGTTCTATTGAAGAGATGTTTTGGTGGACTGGTGTAGTGAAATGCATGGACCACTCCATCACCCTTCCCAAGGTTAAAATTACTGGAAGGAGCTAGAAGCCACCCAAATGGGATGGAAGGGCACAGCTATCCTGGTACACGCAACCCCTGCTCTGAAGCTGGGCAAGTTCTGAATTGATGCACAACCATTAAGGACCAGGTTGTGATCTACCTGGTCTAAACCCAGCTGCTCATCTACTGCCTGAAGCCCAAAAGGCAAAGACAACTAATGGTCAGTGTGGATTACAAACAGCATGAGGTTAACATGGACACTCAGTCACCAATTTTACCTGCCAGCAACAAAACAGTTTAAAAACAAGCATTAAGATCCTTTAAGCAGAGTAAAAACATTTCCTCAGTCACAAAAAGGCTGTAATTTTAAATCCCGATTCACTGCTATGTTTGGATTTGCATCCGCTCTTTCCTTTAAAATCACTGATGTACTGTAATATATTAATTCTAATGTACACCTTGCATTAGTTATGTTGGCAGAAAAAAATTAATTACTGGATGTAAAGAATACTTTGCACTGCAATAATGGTCATCAGATCTTTTTTACCAAAGTCCTATCCCACTGAGTTAAAAGGACTAGGGTCTAGCACAGCCTATGCAATGCCTGTGTATTTTTTTCACTAGGAAAGCACAATTTATGCAAAACACTATACTTCTACATTTTATAATTAATTTTCAAATGCTTCACCTATACATATTTTAATAATTTCTGATTTATCAGATGGTATCTATAATAAATTTTTCTATATTTCAATAAATGAAAAGAAGGCAGTTTCAATCCAACAACAGAGTGCCACACAATATAGGCCTGTCAGGCACCAATTTTTACTTCTAACATGTAAGTTAAAGGATAAGGAATTTATAATGCTGCCTGTGAACGAAACCACTTTTCATACACAAATGTGATCTTTTTTTTTCCAAAGGGTAATACAACAGTACATTTACATAAACTAATCCAAACAATCTATGTATTTGACAATGGCAAACCTCACACAGACTGCCTATTGTTGGTTTACATCTTGGAGTTCTTTATGTTGGCTTGTAACACTGCTCTAGCTGTCAAAGGTTTGACTTGGACTCTAAATAAATGGTTATAGAAGTGCTGTGCAGCGATATTGGACTTCTTTGCAAAAGAAAACCTGCTGTGTATGAATTCAAAAGCTATTAATTTTTCAGTCAAAAATATTCATGCCTATTTCTTTTAATAAAGAAACACTGTGCTGAGCAACTGAGAGATAATGTTGACTAGTGGTACAGAATTTTCAATAGAGCAGTTAAAAATAAATTTAGTAGGAGGTCCCCAACAAAGCTATAATTTTCCAGAATGTAAAACATTTTTAATACTAATCAAGACAGCCCTTTTCCCCCTGCGTTCACTTTTTTTTCCCCACTGCTTTTCCCTGTTTATTAGCTGTTAACAGCAATCTTCCTGGCGACACCGCCTGGTATCTCCATAGCCTACAACACCCGCGAAAGCTCCCTGCCCTCCGCGGCCGAGCATCGATCATGAGCTGCTTTGCCAAATGCTGCTCGCCTCCCTATGATTTCCTCCCTTTAGTTTTTAATCCTTCCTCCTGAGGGGCACCGCTGTTATGAAAGGCCTCAAGGCAGAGTGCTCTGAGACTTCCAGATTATTCCGCTGTTTTAATTTTTAATCCAGTAAGAGCTATAGAAACCAAACCTCCTCCCCATTCTGTTGGGTCTACATACTTTGCCAACAATGCACTGAAGCATTTGCATTCAGGCTGAGATGGATGCGAGGAACTAGAAGAATGCTATTTTTATAGACACTGTAAGTAGTTCTACTCTAGAGGGCTGGTATCCACCAGATCAGGCAATTTTAGGTATCTCAACAGCTTAAATGGAAGGGTTTATACCTACCACTCAACTCTCTCCAAGAAGGCACCGAAATTTCCGGTTGACTTTGACATGTGCTCCAGTGCTGCTGAATAGCCTGCAATTTTCTGTCTAGTAGCCTCCCTATGCACTTCTGCAGCCATTTATTTCCAACTACATGGAAACTGAGAAATCCTTTTCTAGTAAAAATGTGTGCGCGAAGTGTTTAATGATTTTATGTTCTCTATCTCTGTAATGTGTTCTGTTTCAGACATTAATTTTGTCTACCAACTGCATCTTGGCAGGCTACCATATTTGCTGGGTTAATAGTCTGACTCCTTTTTATTTCCATCACCATAAATCACACATATATGGGTGTGTGTTTGCTTTATTTATAGAAAAAAAATCAGTCAAAACAGATAAACCAATACTTTGTCATTATGCTGCATCATTGCATATTGATTAAAATTGCTAGTACTAACTATAGATTGTCAACGCTCAATTAATTTTCACACAATGACTCAAAGCAAAATCAAATAAAGCCAGTGTACCTTTAAATCTTACAAATCTTAAAATCAGGAAGCAAAGCACTCTCTCCATTTCGAATAATCGTTGGAAGTTCTGAGAAACATTTTCAGCATTAAGAGGTTGGGAGAAAACAACAGCTGAAGAAGAGTCATTTTGGTCAGGAAATGAGATGGTGGGTCTGTCTGTGTTTGGGGCTACCCAAGAGTTTTCTTGGGCTGCAGAGCTACTTGCTTCCCCTGCAGCCTCTTTTTTAAAGGGCAATCTGGGGCAGAGAAGGTTTCTTGTCTCAGTTTCAACAGTATAAAACTTGATACTGGTTAACCGCGATTAACATCAAAACATGCAGCTAGAGTCTCTTCTACTGTAAATGTCTGTCAGACAGGGAGAAAGCAGAATAAATATACTACATATAATTTAATTACATCTCCTTCCTAACACTTCCTAAGATTTCATACAAGTTGGACTGATGCAAAGCAACTTACAGGCTACTACGTAAGGCCAGAAAAAAAGCTCAATGCATCAGCTTTAAAGCAAAACAACTTTCAAACTCCCTGAAGAGAAGGGGATGAGGAAACCCAGGTGCCCATGGCAGTGCCTTCTGCAAAGCAGCACTTTGCATCTCATCACCATGGCCAGCTCTGAAGCGGTCCACGCTTTGCATCATGTGCCCCAGTGGGGAACAGGAAAGAGAGGTTTGCTGTGAGATTTTATTTGCTTTTGGCACAGTTCGGTACTTACGGGCTGAGGGGTGGCTTTTGGTTCAGTTGACTTCACATGCAGGTGTGTCATCATGGCTTGCAGGCGCTCTTTATCTTTTGCAAGCTGAAAGGGGGGGGGGGAAGAAATATCCTCTGTTATTCACACAAATAAAACCCAGTCTCTGCTTATTCCTAATTAAACAGCTGGCACCAAGGCATGAGACAGAAGAGTTTTATTGCTGAGTAGTTTTGAAATTGTATATGGTCTATTCGTGAGGTAAAGCTAAAGCATGGTGCTGGGTGTCACTATTTCCTAAAGCAAAATGCATTAGCCCTCGAGTGAGAAGAGCTAGACCTGCTGGCACCAAGAGCTTCACTCTAGCCCTGACAGCTAAAAGACAACAGTGAATCATGTTTATTAACCAGCCCCACTCCAGCTCAGGAGGCACGGCGAAAAGCAAGCGAGGCAGCAGCTCTGAGATGCCTCTGCCTCCTTTCAGACCAGAAAATAAGTGGCACAAATGGAGCATGGCTTTTACAGCACCTACAGGCCTTGTGGCATGTGCAGCAAATGCAGAGACAGCAGTGGTTAAACCACATGAGGCACCTCCATGGGGCATGGCAGGCAGCCTCAGCTCTTGAAAGCATCTTGCTTTTACTTGAGAAGGTGGCACAGCCCCTCAGTGGGTCACCCAGGGCAGCCAGCCTGGGAATCTGAGCAGCGGCACCCTGAGCATGGGCAGGAGCAGCAGGGTGGGTTGCCAGCATCCCTTTGGCATACAGCTGCAGGCGGCAGGATGGGAAGGGCTAACAGCGTACAGAAACCGCCTCAGAGCACTCGTCTCAAGGCACCCAAAGCCACAGGACCAATACTTTCACTCTTCCTCATGGGTCACATCATGCCCAAGAGCTACGGCAAAGCTCCTGCTCTGGATGTCTGTTTTACTTTAAGGTTAAGATTTGAACCAGGCCACAGCTGCTGCCTTGGGATCACACCATACACATCCTTAGCCAAGAAGGCATCCCAATGCATTTCAATGCACAGGACAGACACTAAATTTCATTATTTTGGGGAACCATTTTTTTGTATGTGCAACAGGACTTTTTCCAGCTGCTTTAAAAAAAAATATGGTGGAAAAATATTAAGAAATAATACTAATGAAAAAAGGGGTGTTATTAACCTATATGCCCAATGTAAAAGCTCCTGTTTCCAGCAGGACTTGGACCAGGTTCTCACAAATGACAACTTTTGCAGACTTTTTGCTTTAGACAAGCCAGATTCCCAGCGCCAAGAGGAGAACTGTGTTCACATTCCAGCAACACTTTAAACAACCTGCCCACCTTATCACCATCATCTGTTTGCAACAATAAAGTTGGGCTAAGTGTATATAAAAGGAGACTTGGTCATAAATCCCCATTATGGTCAAGGTTGTGTTGCTGTTTGCAAGGCGAGGGGCTTCTGACTGTGCCAGAAAGGTGCTGTGATAGGATAAAACTTGGCACATGGGTTTCCAAGACAGGAATTAAATACAGGAAAAAATGGTGTGACCACTGTGTGCTCTGGAAGTGTAAAAGCAAAATCACTGGGCTTTTCTAACAGCTGCTCTTTTCTTGGTCAAAACCCTCAATGGCAAGAGAGAGAACCTGACACTCACAGCACATCTGCAATCTCATCACCAGATCTGTGCCGGACTTCACAGAAGAGCCAAAGAGCAGCGACGGGCTCTTTTCATAGCACTGCAGCAGAAACTTCTCCCTCTGAGAGTCCTCTGAGGACCTCTTCAGAGAAAGGAGAGGTCTCACCCCTCAGCTGCCGTGCTTCACACAAAACAAATTAAACCCAAGAAATAGCTGTGCTCTCACTACAGCTCTGTTGTGCAATGTCTCATCTGTAGCAGTTGCTGGGCGCACCGGGCTGCTTGGCGGGGTCATCTGTGCATTAAATTCTGGTCTGCAGGCTACTGCAGAAGAACAACATCTTCTAGCCAAAATAAATAGAAGGCAGGCACCTGAAAGCTTCCTGCCTGCACCAGTGCGGCGGCAGGAGGGAAGGCACCCGGGCAGCCCTGGGCACACCCTGCCGTGCTTCCTCCGGGCCCCTGCAGCCAAACAGAGCGGTGCACCTCCCTCTGAGCGGCCGGGGTCCTTGTTCACAGTGTTTTCACTCATCATCTTAGCAAGGCTTTTAACGCCGTTTCTGGTGGACAGAGGTTATTAAAGATCCTCTCGACATTTCAGGCAGACACATGCTAGCATTTTGTCATAGTCTAGGAATTCAAACACTCACCCAGTTAGGCAGGAGTTTAAATTATGAAAAATAGAGGTCTCTCAGTTTCAAAGCACTGAAGAGAAGTAAAAAAATCTGAAGAATTTCTTTAAACTGTTTTTCCCTTAGGTCAAGAAGCAGTAGTGATACAAAACTAGAATGTCACTAGTAGCCCCCTCAGGTCAATGGGGTCATACAAAAGAAGCCATGAGGTCTTGTGTGGTCACCGATGGGAGCAAATTCTCACTGGTGGCTCTCACTGGAGTCCAGACACTCCAGAAATGGTATACACGCATGCAAATGCTCTTTATCTACTGATAGTGTTCTTGGGCAAGGACTATGCTGCCGTATATGTAAGGATCTGCTCTGTAGAAGGGGTCTGAAGACTAGAACACAGTCCCATCTGCAGCCTCATTGTTTCTTCCTATATCCATTTGGAAAGCTCTGCATGGTGGGAGTTTTCAGCTGGCCACCCAGTTCTTGATTATACGCCTGATTTTGGGAGGTTTCCCTGACCTCTGTGGGGTACAACCATGATGCAGATGCCTGACTGTGGTTCAACAGGAAACACATCCAGAGAAAGGTACATGCTTTGAAAACTTGGACACCAGGACACACGCCTTGCCCCAGAGAGGTTAAATCCTAAACCTACACAGGTAGAAATGGGAAGGCAGAGAAAGCACAGGCCAGAAGCAACTCAAGGTAAGGGGGCAGGAGTCTGATAACCAAGGAGCAAGAGGGGAAGGCATTAGGCACAGATGATGGAGAAATAACACAGGAAGAAAGAAAACAACAGCGAGGACCAGGAATGTGAAAACAGAAACCCAGTGAGGGGCATTCAACAGGAGCAACATGGCCAGAACAACGAGAACAGAGATCACTTCAGCAGCAGGATTCTGGACATACCAAGGACAAAGGAGAAGGAAGCCGGTCATGGACAATGCAAGAGACAACCAAGACACAGCTTCTTTCCTTCCATTATGTGCCTAGTTGGGCTGTGCACTAGAAAGGTTTAGGATCCACTTCAAGAGTGTCAGTGGAAAACAGGCCCAAAGAGTGTTTTCACACACTGAAAATGGCCAGCTGTCTTCATTTTCTCCCATGAGGAGATACTTTTTAAAACTTAGCATAGCTTTGTTGCCGTTCTGGGATGTTTTTTCACTCAAAGGTGGTGCTGCTAAGAACTAGCTAAGGATAGGGATATGTTCCTGTGTTTGTGTTTTACCCAGCAGCCCAATTCTCACTATTTATAAAGACAACAAATGATCATGTCAAGATGGTTTAAACAAAGTGAAATATGAGAAGATCTCTACCTTGTCTGTGATATTTTAAGTATGTTTGTGATGGAAGTGCTGAGCCCAAAGCTTTGAGATACTTCTGCAAAGAGGCATTTGCAACCAAACACAAACCAGATCTGACCTGTTTTGTTTTCTGGGTTTTTGTTTGTTTTGTCTTTTTCCAAAAAAGTTGATGTAAAAATTACTTTCTTTAAAAGATACTGCACTTATCTAAGTCAATGGCACTGCTAAAACTATTGTGTATAAAACAAATAAGAGCATAAAGAAAAGAAAGGCTTGCATTTGGGTCCACGACACTCAAAACCTTAAATGCATCTCTCAGGTGGAAGGAATGTCATAAATTCTACTCCTGTCTTGAGGGAGCTGTGCACGAAATGGTGCAGCACCCAGACCTTGTCATGATGCTGGACCCTGAACAGCATGGGATACTTCACAGCTCCACTAGAAGGCAAAGCTTCTTATCAGTGCTCAGTACCATGTGTCAAATGGGAAAGGCTATGGGTCCCTCTTCTATCTAGCTCACCAAACTCAAACAGCTGGTCAGAGGGCTTGTCACCACCCCACTGGTAACTGCTCCATTGCAGGAGTATCAGGTCAATGGTCTTAGTCCAGCTGCTCCTGCTACAACATGTTGAGTGCTGCAGATCACATCACTAAAAGCCCTGCTGTTGGGCCAGCCTTCTGCTTTATGATGGTTCTGAGCAAAATCAGGTCACAGCCAGACAAACTAGGTACTGGAAGCCAAATCCTCGTGCATATTTAGGCAGATTATTTTTCCTTTTCTTTTCAAAGTATCAGAGGACCGATACACAGGATAAAAAGAAAAGGGAGAAGAGAGGAGTTACAGGCACATTTCAGAAGCAGGATCACCTTCCTCCTCTCCTCCTGTACCTAACCTTGCTGGCCAATGCATGGATGGTTTCACTCTGTTACCAACATCCCTGTCTAAATTAATCCTCCAGTTCATCCTGTTTACTGTGCTAGTATGATTGTTAAAAACAAATCCAGAACTCTCTGGCTCTTCCACCACTTTGAAATTATGTTCTTGTCCTGGGGCCCTTATACTGCCATCCCATGCAGTGGCTCTAAGCTGAGGTATTCCCTAGCACTAAATGGGTGGAAAGCTGTAACTATTAGTCACTTTTGACAATCAGTAGAATGCACCACTGGTAAATCTTTCCCAAATTTTGTCAAGAGCTTATGGATTGGTGACAACCAAGTATCATCTCTGTCCTGCCCAACTGTTAACACAGGCCATAATCCTGTAGTTCCAGGCACAGCGATTCCCAGCGACTGCAGGAGAGAAGGATTAATGCTTTTCAAATTGACTGTAACTGGAAAATCTAGATTTACCTTCAGCCTGAACATTACTGCATCTTGGTAAAAGATTATCTCATATCTCAGTTTACCAGGAAGACTGCAGATTTTTTCTCCCTAATTCCCGAGAAACTTGTTAAAATAACAGACCCTTTCTCATAACATTTTCTGCAAGACTCTGATATTTTATGACTGGTAGTTTGATTTTTATAAAACTTGTATTAAAATAGTTTATATTGCTTCAGCTAATAGTGAAAGAGTGTCATGACCAGCGTGTTCCTGAAAGTAAAATTTAAGAAATATCTATGAAAGAAAAAGGGTAATTTGTAAGATAAGAAGATAAAAGGCATTTTTTTAAATGCTTATCTGGAAAAGTAACAACAAGAAGTTTAAGTGTGGTTTTGCTGATTTTTCTCTCCAACTATTTGAAGCTATAAATGACTTAACTCAGTAAAATTCCAAATGTAATTATCTTCTGTACTTAGCCCAAGGCTTTCCATATATCTCTACGCTGCTGTCTTGCATACAAAATAGGTTTTTCAATAGCTGGTAACTATATAATGTACAACATTGTTTTAATTTCTCCTTCTTTGTTAACCTCTTGCCTACACACAGACACACTGTCAAAGCTGCCCAGCCAGAGCAGCGAGGTGCGGGGAGACAGAAAGGACTCAAAAACATTTGGAAAGGCAGTTACACAAACAGGTTATACCTTTGCATCACATTGAGTACATTCTCATTTATCCCCCTTTTGGCATTTAAAAAAAAAAATTATTTGCTACAAATGGCAAAAGAAAAAAAAAACAGTAGTAATAATAATACATGGAGAGTATTAGTATATGAGAGACCACCAAACAAGCCAGGTCATGCAGCGTTTTGAAATAAACATCAACCATTTCCCCCGTGTATCAACAACTCTAAATGAAGGGGACCACATTCCGCTCGCCTCCCTCCACCCCCCTGGGTGAGTATAAATAGCATTAGATACATACTGATGGATTTCCAATCAGTCAGCCTGTTTAAGTTTCCTATTTCTTTT